ATATGAGGTAATGGGTGTAAACTACACTTACGGTGGCGATCATTTCACAGTATATACGAATATGCAATCATTATGCTGTACACTTAAAACTAACATCATGCTCCATGTTAATCATATCACAGTTTAGAAAATAACAAACAGTCCCAAAGGGGGGGAATAGATGACTGAGCTGCGGTACACTGCACAATGGAATACCACACAGCAATGAGAAAGGGTGGGTCATTACCACACACAAGAAAGGGGCGGATCTCAGAGGTGCAATGTGACCCCAAATGGCACACGAGCAACACTCCCCTGTGATGACGGAGGCAGAGACAGTGCTTATTTCTTAGTGGGGAGGGCGAGTGTGGGCTGGGAGGGGCGGAAGGAGCCTGCTTGGAGTTGGAAATGTTCTTTTTTTAAATCTTAGTGGTGATTCCACTGGCTCACACTCACATTCACCAACATGGGCACCAAGTTTATAAAGGAAGTGTTATACAATATTCCTCACACCCCTCACATTACTATAAAGGATCATTCCTCTACGAGACATTTAAAAAATCACGACCTCAGTTCGGGGACACCCCCGAAGCCCGAGGTGCCCGCTCTCTCCCGCTCCATCCGTCTTCGCCGTCGTTACTTTGGAAAGTCGGCAGACGCTGCGTGGTGGGTTCTCCATCTAACCTGGGAGTCATTGTTTCTTCCTTTTATTTGAAATTTTAAGGTCAGTTTATGAAGTTTGATGATGAATGTTATCAGAAGAATATTCTCCTAAAATTATTTTTTTCTCAGAAAAAAAGAACAGAAGATAAAGACCCTCTCAGCATAGCCTCAGACGCCGTGACATCGGCCTGCCGGTGGGGACGGGCCGCTGGTTACTCTGATCAGCGGGGTTGTAGCCTGGACCATCCTCCTCGCCCTCTCGCTCCAAGTCACCCGTGTCCTGGCCCAAGGCCACGTGGCCCTCCGCTGTCTGCAGCGCCTCCTGCAACTGGATATCTGGTAAGTGAAGATCATGATCTGTTTTATTTATTTATTTTTTAATATGTTTTTATTGATTTCAGAAAGGAAGGGAGAGTGAGAGAGAAACATCAATGATGAGAGAGAATCATCGACTGGCTCCCTCCCGCACGCCCCACACTGGGGTCAAGCCTGCAACCCGGCGTGTCCCCTGATGGGAATCGAACCTTGAGCTCCGGGTTCATAGGTCGACGCTCAACCACTGAGCCACGCTGGCCAGGCGGTCATGATCTGTTTTGAATCGCTGTTTCCCACCTAATTACTTTTTCCCTTCTTGTTCTTTTTGCACTCACTTCTTTTTTAATTTCCAAGAGTCCTGCATCAAACCTGGCCTTCCAGCCTAAGAACTCGTCGGTTGTACTGGAGCGCCGTCAAATAACTGCGTCTCGGCTCCTGCTTCCTTTCCGTTCTGTAGCTGCCTTTTTCTTCCGGTTTTTATTTAATCGGTTGCATTGGGTTTTCTTGCACAGCCAGCACTGAAGTAAAGATCACCACCCTGCGAGGGTTTCTTCTGCCCACGGGGCTCGTTGTAAAATGTCTGATCCGTCTTGTCTTCTGGATTCCATCCTAGAGAATACCGCGTCAAAGGGGGATCCAACGGGCTATTTTCCACTGCATGTCAGCTTGCGTGTGGTCTGGACGGCTCTGTCATTAGATGTCAGAGTAATGGCGAAGCTGGGGCTTCCTTGGTCATTCCAGATAAGGACACTCACCCCCTCACCCCCTTACAGCATCCCAGAGCACGAGAGCAGGCCTGGAGCTGGATGGAGGCAAGGCGGGCAGACCCCAGGCCGCCCCTCACGGAGGTGTAGCCACATGGCAGCACGTATCAGTGCTTCATTCCTTTCTACGGCCAAATAACATTCATCGTACGGATGTGTTACACTTCATCCGTTCCTCACTGATGGACACCGGTGCTGCGTCCCCTTCTTGGCCACTGTGAGTAATGCCGCTGCGAACGGCTGTGTACGCATCTTTGTGTGGACGTTGGAGAACCCTCCCGTCGGCTTAGTGACCGTCACTGGTAATGACCGGAATCGGGCTCCCCCGACACGGTGCGCCGAGGGCACGGCACCTCTGCGCTCGGTCTAATCCCGAGAAAATGCCAGACGAACCGAACGGAGGGACGTGCAACAAAATCACTGTCCGGGGCTCTTCAGATGCGTTGAGGTTGTGAGAGACCAGGAAGGTCGGAGAAACTGTTGCAGAGTGGAGATGGAGGAGACGTGACGCAGGCGTGCCGTGCGGGGTCCTGGACGGGATCCCGGGACAGCAAAGGGGCATCAGAGGAAAACTAATGAAATCCCAAGTGTGTGCTTCCGCCAGGTGCGCCCTGTCAACGTCAGCTTTCTAGTCTGGGTCACTGAACTGTGGTTGTGCAAGAGAGTAACGGGAGGGGAAGGTGGTGAAGGGGATACAGGAATTACACTATTTTTACAATTCTTTTAAGTCTGAAATTATCTGAAATTTTAAAAATTAGGAAAGTCCATGCAGGGCTGGTGTGGGGACACCCTCTGTCCGAGTGGCCGGCTCCAAGCCTCATCCCTGCATAAGGCAAGCCCAGACCTGTGGGCGGCTCCTGAGCTGTCACGGCAGGGGTGCCTGGGGCAGGGGTGCCTGGGGCAGGGGCGAGGGACTCCTCCCACGCTGGCTGAGCAATCTGCTGGACTGTCGAGGGGCCCACCGAGCTGGGGTGGGGCCCCGGGTGGAGAACGGGCAACTTCCCCCGTAGGAGGGGAGAAGGGAGAAACCACTGGGCTGAGCCTTTAGTCTAGGGCAGTGGTTCTCAACCTGTGGGTCGCGACCCCTTTGGGGGTCAACCGGCCCTTTCACAGGGGTCGCCTAAGACCGCAGGAAAACACATATACAATTACATATTGTTTTTGTGATTAATCACTATGCTTTAATTATGTTCAATTTGTAACAATGAAAATACACCCTGCATATCAGATATTTACATGACGATTCATCACAGTAGCAAAGTTACAGTTATGAAGTAGCCACGAAAATAATTTTATGGTTGGGGGTCACCACAACATGAGGAGCTGTATTAAAGGGCCGCGGCATGAGGAAGGTTGAGAACCACTGGCCTAAGGGCTTCTCTGGGCCCTGACCCACGTGGTGGTCAGTGTCCATCTCTCCCAGCATCTGGACTCCACCTGCCTGAGATCGGTTTTGTTTTTTCCGTCCCACAAGCAAGTGGAGCAGTGGCCTGGCCCGCACAGCCAGAGGGTGTCCAGTGCCAGCTCTTAGCAGGGTGGTCCTGGGAGAGAGCCTCCCCCAGGGTTACCGCTCTGAAGGGTGGAGGCTGCCTCCAGACCTTGGGTTTTGTACACACCTCCCCGAAGCGGCCCATGCCACTGAAGGCTGCTCTGGGGAGTGGACTGTCATGGCCACCTCGCACCCCTCTTCCCCCTTGGAGGCCTCCTCTCCTTCCTGGTGCTTTCCTTCGTCCTGCGCCTCCTGGATGTGCTCCGTGGGCAGACAGCTCAGGAAGCTCCTTCGGTGAGATCCAAGTCCGTGGCCACCGGGCCTCCAGTTCCTGGCCCCCTCAGCCTTGGTGACAGCAGGGAAGCCCCCACCCGGGAGGCCAGCCACCTCTCTCCCTGTGGCAGTCCCGCCTACTCCCCTCTCCGTCCTCCCCCACCCAGCACCCTTTGCACAGAAGCTGACGCGGAGCTAGACTGCTGGCCTGGGAGCCACACGTGGCAGGGGCCTTGCTCTCCTCTGACCACAGCCCCTGACCCGGAGTTTCCATGAACTTGAACTAATTCTCTCTCCTGCAGCAGCAAGTGGTCCCTGGGATGGGGGGTGGGTGGGAGGGGGACACACACACACACACACATATTTGGTGTCATGACCTCAAGTGACTGGGCTGAGCCGGTGCCTCAGGTGAAAGGAACCACGGGTCACAGTGGTGTTCGGTCTGAAGAGGAGTGGTGTTCGGTCTGAAGAGGAGTGGTGTTCGCAGCAGCTCTTTGAATTTCAGATGCTGGGCTGGTAAGAAAGTTCTGGAAGGACAGAGACCATTTATATTCAAGGCAGCAGAAGCCCAGAGAATAGGGCACTGTTTAAATCTATCTTGTGATGGATACTGTGTTGATCCACTCCATTCCTACCCGCTCTGCACTCCCTCCCTCCTGGCTGGGCCCAGGGCCGGCCTCTGCCCGCCTGACAGGCCCCCTGGCCTTGGCTTTGGGTTTAACTAACGGGAGAGGCATCGGGAGGGCAGGAGGAGGCCAGGGTATTCCTCCTCCAGCTCCTGGGGCCACCCCACCTGCTGGAGTCCCCCCACAGCTGCAGCATTGGCCCCATTCCAGTCACAGCCCCTCTGCTTTGCCCTTTGGGCAGGAATGGCTCCCAGAGCCCTTTGTGGGTTTCCTTAGTCCTGTCCGCACCGGCACACACGGCTCTTCCCTTCAGGCCCTGTCTCCCCTTGAGGCCCCACCGCTTGTCCCGGGACCTGCCGATGCAGCTCCTGAGAAATGGCAGGTGCTCCTGGACCCTCAGCTGGGAGCCTCGAGGGCCTGCTCCATCTTCCCGGGAGGCCACCTCAAGGACAAAGCCTATAAAAGGACCACAGAGCTGCAGACGCTGGCTGTTCATGTGACCCACAGACAGCTGGCGGTAGGACAGAACTGGCTCTGAACTTGAAAGTGTTCTCCCTAACTCAGCAAACTGGTGTTGGCTGACCCATCCCTATTTCGCATATTGGGGGACTTTTCTTTTCTTGCAGGCCCACTTATAACTCTAAGAGGCTCAAGTTCAAACCTCTGCCTCTCAAAGAACTGCTGCAAACAAGATTCGTTCAAACCCAAACCAGGCAGCTCAGCCCCGGACGTCTTCAACACCAGGCCCTCTGAGGTCCTCACTAGCCATTCACACCCGAGACAAATCGGCAGGCAGCCCACCAGGAACAGGACTGAGACCAAGTCCTGGCACCAGCGTGCCCACAAGCTGGGAGCCAGGGCACAGACAGAGAGAAGCAGACACGGCACAGGTCCTGGGACCTCAGTCACAAGCTTTATTGTCTCGAGCACGGACTTGCCACACTTCAACAATTCCACTTTGGGGAGGGAAGGGCGTGGGGAGGACTTGGCAGGGATGTGGCTGAGTCCACACTGGTCAGAGATGCTCACTGGAAATCGCTTCTGTGATACCTGCCACCTGCAAACCCATCTGGGGCTCAGCCCTCCGGTGTGGGCCTCTGGCTGTTAGTAGACTAATCAGCACCTCCTTTAGGGGGGCAGCTGCCTGAATTTGCTGAAAAGAGTAGCATTAACTCTGGGTTAGGCCACTAGAGCATCGCTCCTAGACTGTTGTTAATAAAACAGCATGCGAGAGCTACCAAAAGCCAACAGGGAGGGGGAGGGGCTGATGGGACAAACTGGCTGCCCCCACGATGGCAAGGTGGTGAGCACCACCCACCTGTATCTGGGAGCACTTGCAGGCTACCTGGGCTGCTCCCTGGACAGACTGCATACCCGTCCTGGTGCACCTTGGGAACACCGTGATGGGGTGCTAGGCTCCTCCCTGTACCCCCCAGCAGCGGTGCTGCGGCACAAGGCCATGGCCTGTGGGCCCTCCAGCTCTAGAGGTGGGCACCGCTGGGCCAGAGCTGGCTTCTCCTGCCACACACAGGCCTGGAGACTCAGGGCTCGAGGAGAGAGGTGCGTAGCTTTTTCTTGCCAACTACATCCCTTGGGTTCTCTTTCTGGAGACAAGTTTAAAGGCTCCAGGCCGGGGCCTGGTAAGATTGAAAGGGGCTGTTGGTACCTATGCATCCTGATGCCTGTGCCTGGCACACACACCCCTGGACACTCACTGCGTGTACCCGGGTGTGTGCGTGCACTGCCAGGTTGCAGGAATGTCTGTGGTGTGTGCGGTCACTACCTTGCCTGGCTTGGGGCTCAGTCCTGGAACCCAAGTGTGTGCACCTGTGTGGCCTGAGCATGGCTGATGCAAACACCCCACCTGCATGGCCGTGTGTGACCCTGTGAGTGTGCGGGAGTCAAGGGTCAGTGGGTGCATACGTCAGGGTGTGCACAAGTGCACCTGCAGGGGGAGGCCCAGTTTTGGAACAGCTGGTCAGCCCAGGGGACACCGAATTACCGACCAGTTATAATATGCCTGGGCCACTGGTCTCAACTCCCCTGCAGCCATCCTGCCCCACTCCAAGCCAGGTCGATGTGAGGGTGAGGACAGGGTTCCCACTTTCCTAATACTGTGCTCCTGGCCTTGGCGGCCACCCTCTGGCCAGCAGCTTGGAGTTGTGTATGTTGGTATTGGGGGGAAAGGACCTTGTACCCCAACACCCTGAACCTGGGACTCGCTGGGCAGACAGGTTAAGGGAAGCTTGTACCACTGCTTGAAGGAGGCTCAAAATGTGGGGACAAGCAGCCCTGGGAACTGCCTTGCCTGGAAGTGGGTGCAGAAAAGGGGTCCTCAGTGGCTCCTGAGGCCCGGACTTCGCTCCTTGGTGCCTGCAAGGAGACCTTGGGCCTCCTCTGACCTTTCCTGGGACCATGGCTCTCTGGGATCCGAGGGGGACCCTGGAGAAGGAAGGGAAGAAAGGGAGGGTAGGGACGAGCTCAGGATGGTCCCAGGGCAGCTCGTTCTGGGGAGAGGGCCTGGTCGGATAGCCTCAGCCTCCCCCAAACACATTCCAGAAGCTGCTGGGTGTCCGGGTGTCGGGGCTGCAGGTTCCGGGCTGTACCGCTCTCTGTGGAAGTTCGTGCTTGAGGAAGCCTCCTGGTCCGGCAGGGGGTTGAGGGTGGGGATTGTCCAGACGGTAGGTACATTATTGTTACAAATACTGTTCTTGTCTCCAAAGTAACAGTCCTGGCCGCGGCGCCACTGGGGCAGAAAGGAGTGGCTCCGGTGTGGACGGGGCTGCTCCATGATGGCCCTCAGGGTCAGTGCTTGTCCTGGAGAGAGCAAGGGCTTGATCAGCAAGTGTCGTCAGGAGTGGCAGAGGGGAGGAGGTAAAAAAGGAGGGGCTGAGGGAGGAGAACCCACCGGTGCCAGGTAGAGGGAACAGCATGGGCAAAGGCCCTGGGGCAGAAAAAAGTCTCTTTGCTGAGTGCGGAAGAATGGTGAGATAGGAGGGAGGGTGGGAGCTGTTAGGGGAAGTTGAGAAGAGGCAAGAGCAGGTGGGTGTACAGAGCCCTGCGTTCCTGTGTGGAGGTTGGATACAAGAAAATAAAAATTGGAGGTGAGACTCTAAGCCCCGGTGTTCATGTCTGCAAACTGGGATGACCCCTGTGCCTCAAAGGGTAGACGAAGCCACATAGGGCTGGCTCTCATACCCTGACATTCCCCGCTTAAGCTCTGTGCCCCTCCCCACCCAGTTCTCTCCTTGGCCCTTGGCAGATTCTATGTCCAAGGTTCTCCTATCTCCAGGTGAGCATGTGTGCCCAGGGGTTCTCCTGTCCAGGGTGGAAGGAAAGTTCCTCCAGCTTCACTTGCCCGGGGTCACATAGCAAACCAAGGACAGAGCCAGTGCTGGGCTCTTCCCACCTACAGGGCTGGCAGCCGGGCCCCAGGTGGGTGCCTATAACACTGTGGGTAAAAGCAGGTGTTAACTGTTGGGTGGGGCCACCAGGCACCCTCTTAAAACACAACAGTCACCCTAACCGGTTTGGCTCAGTGGATAGAGCGTTGGCCTTCGGACTGAAAGGTCCCAGGTTCAATTCCGGTCAAGGGCATGTACCTTGGTTGCGGGCACATCCCCAGTAGGAGGTGTGCAGGAGGCAGCTGATCAATGTTTCTCTCTCATCGATGTTTCTAACTCTCTATCCCTTTCCCTTCCTCTCTGTAAAAAATCAATAAAATATATTTTAAAAAAAACAAACACAACAGTCAACCAAAGACATGACAATAACAGGAATCACAGGCACCTTTAGACCCATGCAGTTCTAGAAAACCAATTTTATACCCATAATGTTAGAAAACGTAGGCTTAACAGAGATTGCTTAAGGAAGAGAGAACATGCTGTTTAAAATATTCAGTGAAAAATACAGGAGGTGAAATTGAATATAGTGTGAGACTTACTCTATTAAAATGATGTATGTGGTGCTTTGCAACCATCACAGTAAAGACTGGCTGGGCCAGAGTCATCCACGGATGCGAAGTCCAGGGGAGGGGTTCAGTGAGAGGGTATCCACAGGGCCCTACAGTCCCCACAGACTGACCGTTAGAAAAGAGCCAGTAACTACGCAGTGGAGAAATCCGAAAACTCCTGGACGAGGTGATCACAGTGCACATCAGGAGGGAAGGGCAGCTGGACATCGTGCGCCCAGTCGGGATGCCGGAGGACACGACATTGCCGACGTGTTCCAGCCCGAGATGCAGGACCTGGCTCAGATCACGGGGACCCACCAGCAAACCTCAAATGAGGAATGTTCTATTTTAAAAAGGGTGGGGGGCATGCAGGAGGCAGCTGATGGATATTCCTCTCGCATTGGTTTGTGTTTCTCTCACCCTCCCTTCCTCTCTCTTTAAAAATCAATACAAATATATATATTTTAAAAAGGAGTGGGGACTATGTTTCAAAAATGTCAATATCATAAAAATCAAAGAGAAATTGAGGACATGTTCCAGATTAAAGGAGACTAACAAGACAACAGCTAAGTGCAATAAGCTGACCTAACCTGTGACGAATCCTGTACAGAGGGGAAAATGGGTATGGAGAGTAGAATGGATATAAATCTTACATCAATGTTACATTTGCTGAAATTGACAACTGCACTGTTGTTATGTATAATCATGTCCTTTTACTCAGAAAATACAGAGCCAAGTGTTAAGGGCCAAGACATGCTATTATACTGAAATGGTTCAGAAAAACATTACTACACACACATCTACACATAGAGAGCAAAAGATGAAACAGACAGGGCAGCATGCTTACAATGCAAGGTGGGAAAGGGTAGATGACATGCCAGGTACTATTTTTATTCTTGCAGTTTTTTGGTAATTTTGAAATGATTTCCAAACAAAGTGAATGCTTACACACATGCATATACATATACATACACGTATAACAGCTTCTCATTATTCACAGTAATGTTCTATAAAGTCACCACCTGCACTGAATTACCGAACACCGAGCCACTGCTCCAGGTGGAAATATGGGTTTAAGTTCCCTCAAACCTCTGATCAGGACGTTTTAGTCAACTGATCCTACGTAACCATGTTTTATGTGTGATTCTGTGTAAAGACATCTTAACACATGCTGTTGACTCATTAACAACTCAAGGCCAACAGGACAGCAGGTCTTCAAATAACATCGTTTTGTTATAATGGTGACGGTGACGATTCTTGGCCGGGACCACTGTCTGTGTGGCATTTGCACATCCTCCCCATGTCTGCGAGGGTTTTCTCTGGGGGCTCTGGTTTCCCCCGACATTCCAAAGACGTGCATGTGAGATAAACTGGCGTGCCTACACTGTCCCAGTCCGCGTGGGTGTGGGTGTGAGTGGCGCTGTGATGGAAGGGCGTCCTGTCCAGGTGGGTCCCACCTTGTGCCTTGAGCTGCTGGGAGAGACCCAGCCACCTGTGACCCTGAACTGGAATAAGCAGGTTGGAATATAATGATCTTACCTATTTTTTTCTTCTTAAATGTATGTAGAGCTCACATTTATTTCAATGTTTAATATTAGAAGTGTTTGGGGTCTTTATTTAGAAGTTTGGTGATGTTTTTGTGACCAGAAATATGCCATGGGAACTTAACTCTTGTTTATATCAATTAGCCAATTGTAAAACTGGTTTTGTTATATGTCATTTCGCTTAGAGTTGCAATCTCCAAGAACCCACCAATGATCTCAAGTGAGGACTTACTGTATAACTCACGCCTGAACAAAGCTTATTTATTTATGTTTCAAATACATTTTCATTGATTTCAGAAAGGAAGGGAGAGGGACAGAGAGAAACATCAATGATGAGAGTTACTGATCAGCTGCCTCCTGCATGCCCCACACTGGGGATTGAGCCTGCAACCGGGGCATGTGCCCTGACCGGGAATCGAACTGTGACCTCCATGGTTCATAGTTCGACACTCAGCCATTGAATCACATCATCCGAGCTGAATGAAGCTTATTTAACACACAGATTTTCTTTGTAGGGCACACAGCCATCACTTGGGGGTCATTGTAAACAGCAGAAATCACCAAGTAAAAGCACAAAAATGTGAAAAAGGTGGCACTAAATAGATTTCAAAAAGGACACGTTTGCAGTATGAGAGCTGGAACAAAAAGGGAGAGTGAAGCCTTGTTACTCCTCGGCTGGGAACATGCAGGTCGGGCAACTCAGATTTTCCTCTGCTCTGCACATGTCCATAAGTGACCACAACATTGTTGCAAATATTGGTTTTTGGGTTATAAATACATTTTAGTTGCACATTTGTGAATATGGAATCTGTGAATAATGAGGCTTGATTGTACATATACATGTGTTCACATACACACACTTAGGAAAGTTCAGGAAGGCTGTCACTTACAAACACTAACCTTGGTCATCTCTGAGTGGGAGGGCTACTAGTGTTTTCTTCTTTATGTATTTTTGGTTTTTTTCTCAAAAGTTTCCCGAGGGGCATGTATTACTTTATAATAAACACTTTTTAAAACAGGGGAACAAGGTTAAAAAGCAAGAGGAATTCTGGATCAAGATGGACTGCATGGGTTCCTCTGTGAGAGACTCTATTGTGAAGCCTCTGCATGATGCACCTTTGTTTGTATTTTTGGTGACTTGTCAGGTTCTGTTCTGCCTGTGCAGTGGGAGTGCCACGGTGTCCCCCGGGACCAGAGAGCTCCTTACCTCTTGTTTGTGGGTCTTGTCTTGCTGGTGGATGCCGTTTGCAGAACCCGAATTGCCAATGGCCTGTAAGAGTCACGGGCAGATGCTGAGTGAGGTTCACCAGACAACAGTTCCTCGTTCGTCCACTAGATGGCGATGTCTTCTTGATAGGATCCTCTCAGGCTCCAAACTGACCAGAGCTCTTCGGAATGGGGGTCCCAGGACCCGTAGACCGAAGCTCTCAGGGCAAGGTTGCATCTCTCCCCTTGGTCTGAGACCCTCATGGCAAAGCCATGTACCCTTGGGCTGGGGCTCTCAGAGCACATGCCTGTGTCTCTCCCTAGACCAGGGTTCCCAGGATAGAGAGGGCTGCCTCCCCCTGAAGACTAGGTGTCTGAGGACAGGGCTGCCTTCCCCTGCAGACAGGGGTTCCCAGGATAGGGCCCTGCTCCATGAGGACACTGCCCACTGGCTTGCCTGGTCAGCCCAGCCCTGGCCCATGGCTCACCGGGGACTTGTCGGGACTGCTCCTCATGGCCTCCATGAGCTTCTCCACCTGCTGAGCCTGGTCCAGTGCATCCCGCAGTGTGTCCTCTGTGCTCATCAGCTGGTGCTGTAGCCGCAGGAGCTCAGGTGCTGAGGACGGGTCAATGAGGGAGTAGCGCCTCTGATCCGACAGCGACTTCTCTTTGTCCTAGAAGTGGCCGGAGAAAGGAAAAGCATGCGTGAGGGTGCAGCGTGCATGTGTTAGGGGAGGGTGACCTCCTCCAGGCAGAAAATTCTCCTGGCCCCACCCCATCTCTGGGCCAGGCCCGAGCATCACGGGGATGTTCCTCCGGCCCCCCTCCCTCACCTGAGGGTCCCCACTGAAGTAGGCTCTGTCAGATGCTTCACATCCTCCAAGTCCCCAAATCCAGGCACCTTCCTCTTTCCTTCTTGATTCTCCCTACTCCCTCCACTGTCTTATATGGGTCCCTCCTCTTGACCCCAGACCCCATCCTATAGTGACTTCTCTACCCACCCTCCCCTACCCAGCAGGACACAGCTGCCCCACCCATGATGGTCTCTGGAGACACATCTGCCTTGTTCCTACACAAACTGGCCCCCTTCTTCCTGACATTCATGTGTGAATCCCCCTGCAGGACTCTGAACAAGGAGCTGCTTTCTGGTTGATTACTTCACTGGGCGGGGAGCTCACCACCCTACATAGCCCATCTTACCTCTGGATAGGTCAGATTCTTAGACAGTATCCTTTGCATTGCATCACCTAGACTGCCACACGGCAGCCAGCCACGATGCCTGCAAAAGCAGCTGCCGTGACCCCTCCACGAGCTACATCGCTGACCCTGTGGTTCTAGGGGATTGTGAATTCTCGGAGGCTTGGAGGTTCCCGGGATGGCTCCAGGAGGTCACCACTCTCCTGGCCTGACAGCAGGGCAGTCTCAGTCCCACCCTCGCATTCCCCTGCCCCGACATACCAGCCCAGTCAGCTTTTCACGAAGGCCCCGGATGTCATCCTTGAGTTTCTGCTCCTTGATCCGCCACTCAGCCTTGTGGACCTCACGGCTCAGGTCCCTCTCGGGCCCTGGGGAGTGGCGATTGGCTTCCAGCAACAATACCCGCAATTCGTTCAGGCTCCTGGGGGAGGGAGTGGGGGGGGGCACAGAACAGCTACAGTCACTCCCACACTCCAGCTATCTGCCAAATGCCTAGACGGCCACTCTGACGGGGAGACTGGCTATTAAAACAGCACCTGTGCCAGAAGGGGCTGGACTGGAAACATGAGGCATGAAATCATGCAACCACAGCCCAAGAGGGACCAGGATTTAGGGACAGGCAGTGAAGAGGACTTGGCCTTTCCTAGAATGTTTTTAAAGTTGTTGTGTTTTAAAAGAGAATATTTGTTTAACTAAAAAATTAAGCAAAGCACACACAATATTCATCCAAGGGCACCCATGAGGCAAGACATTTTAAACGGCTGAAATCAGATGAGTTTTCTTTCCTATGTCAACCCTTAACCAGCTGGCAGTAGCTGCCTGGAATACTGTGATGAGGATGATTCTCAGGCACATCCAGGCTCTGCAGAAAAGAGTGCGGCAGTCAGTGAGCGATGTCTGCAATGGGCACAGGCTGAGAATAGGACACACTCCTTCTACGCCTTTTCCCTTCCCTGCAACTACTATAGAGGAGACGGAAGCTCCCTCACTAGGTGGCCATGGGTAGTTGAGAACAAAGTGGAAGTCCACCAGTACTGTCCCTTTCCTCCTCCTTCCTGCTATGGATGTGATGGCTGGAGCTCCAGCAGCCACTTTGCAACCAGGAGGAAGAGTCCAAGAGAACCAATCACTTAGCACTGATATTTTTAGCTACTGAACCGTCATCCATGGCTACTCCCAGATTTCTGTTCTGTGAGGAAAGTAAATCTCTACTGGTTAATCTGCCAGCACATTCCTAGCTGATCTTCCACTCCCATCCTCAGCGTCACAGGCGCGTGGAGGAGCTCATGGTGGCCAACTTCGATAAAGGAAGGCTTCAAAGGAGATTGGGCTGAGAGCTAAGCCTCGAGAATGGACTGGACAGAGTGAAATGTCCAAAAAGAAGAAGGTAGCAGTTGAGTAAGTGCTGAGAGACAGAGGAGGAAATGAGCCTGTGGATAGAGGAAGACAGACTCCCCAGAGGAGGCAAGACTGGGCTGAGCACCGAGAAAAAGTATCTGATTTGGACAGGGAGGATATGGGGGGCAAGACAGCAGTGGGGCCTTGACAGAGCGCCGGGCTGTGAGTTCATGCTGGGAAGGAACGTTCCCCAGCTGCACCCGTCTCCCTCCCTCCTGGGAAGGGCCACATTTTCTAGAGAGGTGCTAAATTTAAAGCAAATCTAGCACAGAAACTCCCAGTGTGTCATCAGACTGAACAGCAGGGGAAGGGAAGAGACACGGTTTCCTTTATAAAAAGGTGCTTGTACTTTAACAAGATTCCTTTCAATCGGAGGATGAACCTCAGATGTTTACAGGGGCTGGCGAACCATGCCCATAAGGGGGTGTAAGTAAAATGATGAAGAGGGTGGAGGACGGGGGTCACGAGACGTCCCTGACCACCCAGCAATGACTGGTTGTTACTATGCTGGGAGTCAGCCTATTGTCAGAACTTCTGGAGAAATCTAGATTTTATGTGCAATCTTCTGATTTTTTAAATGCTCATCTAGGTGTTTTTCCCCTCTAAAGCCTCATATGGGTTACACAAACCATGTCCATAAAATGGAACCAAGTGGTTCTCAAAGTGTGGCATGGGGAACCCTCAGGGGCCCCCAAGACCCTTTCAAGGGGTCCATGGGTCAGAACTATTTTCACTATCATTTCTCATGCACATACAATGAATTTTTTCTTGGGGTCATGTAGCATATTAGCGATCTGAAAACAATATTAACATACATTCTTTTCTAACTACAAATCACTGTAAGGCCAGATTTTCATAATATGCTTCAAGTAAAACAACAAACTGCAAAGACTGAATACAAAATGTTAAACAATGCCCCTCTTTTCATTAAATATTTTTTTTGTTTTGGAAAACAGTTACTTTTTATCCAAAGCATGTTATTTATGGTACATGCAATTGGTTTATTATTTTTAAATGAGTTCATAAATATTTTTACATTCCTCAGTTTTAATTTCTAATATGACAAATACAGAATAAGCAAACACAAGCTCCTTGGGAATCCTCAATAAATTTTAAGAGTTTAAAGGTAGCAGTGAAGGCCAGGAAGCTTGGGAACCACGCGTCTTGCCTGTAAGCTCTGCTTGGAGAAAGCACTGTGGAGGGAGGATTCTGAGGCCTCCCCCGAGCTTAGAGGAGAGCACAGAGACCCCTGGTGGTGCCAGCCACCTGTCCTACCCAGGCCATCCTCGCCCACCTCTGGAGAAGACTGGCTAATGTCAGGCGGGGTGAGGGTCAGGCAGAGGGAAGGCAGGCCAGGCGGGTCCGAGCACCCTGCCCGCTACGCACCGCTCCTTCCTGAGCAGCTCCTGGCTGATGAGCACCAGCTGGCCCGAGGCGTCGTGGGTCTTCCGGGACACTGCCTCCAGCTCGGCCTCCAAGCGCCGCTTCTCCTTCTGGAGGACGTCCACCTTCTTGTCCCCCGACTTGCACTTGCTCTCCAGCGCTGAGGGTCAGCCAGCAGGAAAGAAGGGGGGGTCAGGATCGCCGTGGGAATCTGTCCCACCAGAGCGCCTGGGCAGGGAGCCAGTTTTCCCCTGTGCCTTGCTCTCTGCTGCAGCCTGTGCCCTTCCCCCGATTCCAAAACCCTGGTATTTCCTCTAGGGGCTGGGGCAGACAGACTGTGTCCAAGTGGCCTGAGAAACTAAAACGTCCTGGTGGTATTCAGAACAGAGTGGCCGCTGCGAGAGAAGCTGGCCAGGGTCCCTGATTCTATTATGGACCAAGAAAGGGCTCCTATCCCCCCCACTCCCTGCTGCCCATGGAAGTTTCGTGTAGGTGAACTGGCCCAGGCCACTCCTCCTCAAGGCGGAGTGCAGGAGGGGACCCTGGCCCAGATGCCAACCCTCCCCGCGCTCCACTGGCAGTGGCCCCGAGGAAAGCCCCCGCATCTGCCCTGCGGGAGCGAGACTTACCACTTACTTGGGCCCTGAGCATCTCAGTCTGGTTCGTCAAGGCTGTCACCTCTTTGTCCCTCTTGTTCAGCTTGTCCTGCAGGCCTAGGGGAGAAGGGAGAGATGAGGGGCCATTAATGCTCCAGGTCCAGCGCTGGGGTCCAGTGGTTGCCACCCGTCCCCCTGGGTAGCTCACTCTGAATTAAAGGCTCCAGTACTGTGTGGTCTCAGGCAACTTAACTCTCAGAGTTTCCTCGAGTGAAAAATGCAGATGGTAATAATGGTGCCCATGTCACTAGGCCCTGTGCATTCAATACTGGATAGACGAACCGGGCCGGTGTGGCACAGTGGCTGAGCGTCGATGTATGAACCAGGAGGTTGCGGTTCAATTCTCGGTCAGGGCACTTACCTGGGTTGTGGATATAATCCCTGGTTGGAGCCAGAATGAAATGCAATCAATAGATGTTTCTCTCACATCGATGTTTCTCTCTCTCTCCCTTCCTCTCTCTAAGCATGTCCTTAGGTGAGGATTAAAAAAAAAAAATGGCCAAGAGAATTTTGAAAGGGCAGAGTTAGGCAAGGGTAGCCTTGCCAGTAATTAAAAACCAAACAGAGCTTGGATAATTAAAACATTATAGGCCGTGGCTGGTGCGGCTAAGTAGGTTGGAGCATCGTCCTCTACAGCAGAAGGTCATGGATTTGATCCCCAGTCAGGGCGGGTGTGAGAGGCAACCGGTGGATGTCTCTCTCACAACAATGTCTCTCTCTTTCTCTCTCCCTTCCTCCCTTTCCAAAATCAATAAAAATTTTTTAAAAATGATAGAATTGGCACATGAACAGATAGAAAAGTCATTGGAAAGGAATAGAAAATCCAGAAATAGAGTCAGTTACATAAGGAAAGTTAAAAATAATAAGGTTGGCAATTCAAATCTGTAGAGAAGGGGAGATAAATTTTTCAAATATGGGGTACTCTTTTAGGAAAAAAATAAAAATGGATCCTTACCCCACACCTTCTAGAATTCTAGATGGATCAGAGATTTAAACATAGAATATGGAACTAAAAAGTACTAGAAGAAACCATGAGATAATTAATGAAAATAATAAATACAAAAGCCCCCCCCCCCCCCCAAAAGATCGATTTAAGAAAATCTGCATGGCAAATACCATTATAAGAAAACCAAACCACAACTTGGGGGATATGTTTGCAATGTCACAAATAAGGAGTTTCTAAAAAATGAACAAAAAGATCAATAACAACAGGAATACAATGGGTAAAGGATGCAGTAGAAATGGAAATGGCATTCCAGTCACAGTGAGCGAAAGGTTAGTTGAAATTACATCAGGCAACATGTTTACTCTTCAGATTGGCAGCGATCACAAAGCTTGATGAAACATTGTTGGGGAGGCTTGTGAGGAAACACTATTTTTCTTATTAAAATATGTTTTTATTGATTTCAGAGCGAGGAAGGGAGAGGGAGAGAGTTAGAAACATCAATGATGAGCAAGAATCACCGATTGGCTGCCTCCTGCACGCCCCCTACTGGGGATCAAGCCTGCAACTTGGGCATGTGCCCTGCCCGGGAATCAAACTGTGACCTCCTGGTTCATGGGTTGATGCTCAACCACTGAACCACACTGGCTGGGCGGGAAACACACTTTCAACCACAGCCAGTGGGAGTTAAAATTGGTTGAGCCCAGGGAGGAGGTAATTTACTGTAAAAACAACCTACAACCCATCAGCAGGAAACTGGCTAAATACAGGATGGCAGCTCCACAATGGCATATTGTGCACCACGGAAAAGAATGTAGTGATGAGGAAGAGTCTCCAAGACACATTATTAAATGGAAAAAAGTAAGGGACCGAGCAGAGTGGGAGCCATGGCACCATCTGTTACCTGTCCGCTTGTATGTGCGGAAACGCTCTCTGCATGGGGACAGAAGCTGACCAACTTTGTGCCTTTGGGAAGGGAACAGGGAAGAGGACCCTTCACCTTATGCCCTTTGGCCCATTTGTAGTTTACACCTATTTTAAAAACAATGTAGAACCAAACAAACAACAAGGTACGCCCAGCACTCAATAAACAGAGCTGCAGCCCGCCTCACCTGTGGGGTGGGGTGATGGCTCGTGCATGCAGTAGGCACCTCTCACCAAACGGCAGATGATGCAAAACCAAGTGGCACCAGCTCCAAGGCAGAACCAACCAGCCTGTCCCCAAAGCCCGGGTCCCGCCTGCCCAGCGGCCACTCACCCTCCACAGTCTCCTTCATCCTGATCTTCTCCCCTGAAATGTCGTTCGACTCAATCATCTGAAAGAAGAGGACTGTAAGGGGGACGCTCGCCGCCCCTCTGCCCCCAGCCCCAGCCGGCCCAGCATACTTCACGCCTACGCTACATAAGGGGACTTGCAGTGGCAGGGAGCACAGATGTCCTTGAGATGACCCTCCTGACAACAGAGGACCCTCCTCTGTTCCCCTCATCCCAAGGCTGCTGTGTAGCTGCCATGTGAACACCTCCCGCCCCTACCTCTGTTGAAAATGTGTATTATATTGAACAGACATCTCCTTCCCTGGGATGCCTACAGAGGTTGGTTCCCATCAACATCCAGAGGCAAGATTCCAGCCTCGGTTTCCCCTCCATGAAACAAGTATCGACTGCCATGGGGCAGTGTGTGCAGAGCATACTCCGGACTGCCTCCCAGAGGGACTTCAAGAAATGCTACTTCCTTTCTCTCTAACACGTCTTCTAAATAATAAACTCAGAAGCCGAAGAAGAAAAGATCAAGGAAAAAAAATCTGGGCAAACATCAACTGGCCCCTTACTGCTTCCTTCTCCAAAAGTTTCTGGCCTCCTGTCCACGCTGGCTGTCCTCTGAGCTTGCAGTTTGTCAGAGTCTAACACTGCAGATCAGGAGGCAGTCACCTCCATCAACCTGCCCTTCATACTTCTTCTCATACATCCCAAGCCCCATTTTGTTCGCAGCAAGTGATAACTAAGCCCCTAGATCTTTATTTACAAACACTGCAGGGAAAATGAGGCACACACTAAAACATCTTTTAAAAATTCTCATACTTATTACATTAGACTAAATATCCAGTTGTACCTGGACATGTGGGTCCAGACTGAGACCCTGTGCATGTAGAAGAGAGGTCTTCTTGAGGTCACTACCCCCTCCTCTACCCGAGGACTGTGACTGAGGAGCAGGAGGCCACCCTTAGACCTCTGTCCCCCATGCTCTGTGGAGCTACAGCAGCCCCAAACCTCTCCCGCTAAGGGAGTCCATGTGTGGGTCCCAGGCCTGACCCCCCGGCCTGAGAAGCCAATCGGGCCGTATGCACATAGGCTAACCTGGGCTCTTCCTTCCCCTCTGCCCAGGATCCTGGGAGAGCACTTGTTAAACACGTCACTTCCTAGCAGAAGGGGCCAGAAGGCTGCTGCAGTGGGACCTCGAGGCATGACAGGCACCCTGTCCTCGGACCTCCTGAAGACTTACTGCTGGAATGCTGAGTGCTAGTGTAAAAGTACAAGGGGAACCGGAAGCCCAAGAACCCTGGGGCCTGTAAAAAGGCAACGATCATGCTGCTATCTGTCCCTTCACATCAAACTTGACGTTTGTCATCCTGAGCACCCTCTGGCAGCCCTCTGGCACCAGGGTTGGGCACCACCTCTGCCACTGGTGGGCAGAAACCCTGGGAAGGTTACTCGTCTTGAGGTCTTGGTTGGATCATCTATGAAATGGAGCATTGACCTCGTGGGAATGAAGTTGAAATGGGGCAACATAGGGCCTGGCACAAGGTGTGGTGCCCAGAGCCACTCAAGGCCCTTCCCAGCCCACTGGAGTGAACACAACCCGTCTGGGCCTCCCTAGCGTGCTCAGCCGGGACGTCTGGATTTGGAGCAAAGCTGATACTGGCAGCAGTAGCGTCTCCAGGGCCACCCCTCCAGCCTTCCAGACCCCACTCCCGGGACCCCACACTCTGGGAAAGTGACCATTGGACTGTGGCTCATCTCATTAGGACCAGCAGCAAGAGGGCGCCCTCAGATCCCTGGGTCAGCGCTCCTGTTGGAGATGGGAGCCCGGGGATGGGCAGGGCTTGTCCACGTCAATGCCAGCCCACAGCACAGGGACTCACAGTAGGACATATGTCGGCACATCAGGGACTTGGGGACTTGGAGGAAGCCTGTTCTCTGCTCTGAGTTACATCTCTCTCCAGGCCTGGTCTGTGGGAGACCCAGCCAGGTCAGCTTAGACCATCATGGGTCCCTACAGTCACAGGGCCGGCTGCCCTTCTCGCAGAGGGACAAGAGGCTTCCTCCTCTGAGCCTAGTGCCCCCATATCTCAATGGGCATGTACCTGGGGGCAACGAAAACACTTCCCTGGGCTGAAAAAAGGGATCAGTAAACACTAGGCCCTCCCCAGCCAGCTCTCAAGCCCGAGTTGCTGTTGCCCAGGGGCCCGCACAGCCCACAGGAAGGTGCTGCGTACGTTGGTGTGCTGGGACGAGCACAGGGACTCGACAGCCTGGAGTCTGTTTTCGGCGACCAGCAGCTTCTCCCGCAGCCTCTCAGCCTCCTGCTTGCTCTGGGCCTCTGACCGCTGCAGCAGCTCATAGTCCAGCATCTTCTTCTCGGCCAGGGAGATCTGCTCCTTGAGGAACTCGATGGCCTGCGCCTGGCCCCGGTACTCCGCGTCCAGCTTCTCCAGCTCGTGTACCCGCAGCTCGGCGTCCCGGCGCTGGTCCTGGGCCTCCTGCAGCTCCAGCCGGTGCTGGCCGGCCTGCACCTCCAGCTGGGCCCGCCAGTGCTGCTGCAGCCCGGCCAGCTCCTCCTGGGCCTCCTGCAGCTTCTGCCGCAGGCCCTCCTTCTCCTTCACGTGCATGGCCGTCTCGATGTCGTGCTTGGCGCGCAGGTTGCCCAGCTCCAGCTGGTGCTCCATCTTGATGCCCTCCATCACAGCCTTCAGCTCCCCGATCTCCTTCTGCTGGGCGCCAGGGCCCGAGTTCAGGGTGGCCTTGAGGTCCTCCAGGGACTTCTGGTGGTCCGAGGCCAGCGAGTCCAGCTTGGACTTCCAGTTGTCCATGAGCCCCATGTTCTCGCTGGTGGCCTGCTGGACCTTGGCCTTGAGGTCCACCACCTCCTGTGCATACTTGTCGTTGGCGGCCCGCAGCTTCTCCACCTCAGCCTGGTAGGCCCTCAGGGCCTTCTCGTACTTGTCCCGCAGCACACCGCTCTCCCTCTGGTGCTCCTTGCTGGCCGACAGCAGCCGCTCCCGCAGCTGCAGGGTCTCCGCGGCCTCGGGGTGGTCAGCGGGCGGCGGGCCGGAGTGCAGCAGGCACTGTTGCAGCTCCTCGATCTCGCCCCGCCGCAGGTTCAGCTCCTCCTCCAGCTGCAGCACCCGTGACTTCTCGGCCACCGTGGTCAGCTACCGGGAGAGAGGGAGACGGTGAGCTGGCCGGCTGGAGAGCGAGGGTGATCCGCAGGGGTGCGGGGGCTTCCTCACCACGCAAGGGCTCCAATCCCCGTGGGGTAAGGTCGTGAGAAGGGAAGGGCATCCACTCCTACCCAAGTGCTGGCTTTTCTCATGGCCTTGCCCACCACACCTCCCAGAAAGAGCCCCCTGACTTGTACCCCAGCGATTCAGGGAGTCAACTGTCCCCACTGCACCAGGCGTGGGGCAAATTGATGGTTAAAAACCCCACTTATTCGAGGTTATGGCTTTCAGTTTAAAGGGCAGAGGCGACAGGGAAGTTTGCAAGTCCCCCAGCTGGAATGGGTGGACTCGGGCTGTCTGCAGGGGGTGGCCAAAGAAGGGCCGGTCGAATGCCTAAAGCAGAACAAAATTAATGCTCCCAGAACTGCCTCCTGAGGGAAAACTCTGAGATCAGAGGTTCCACCCTCCTGAGGTTCACCTTGATCATGTCAATGGTCACAGATTTGGAAACAAATATTTAAGCGTTTTAAATCCGTTACAAGCTTAAACATTTTTGTTTCTGAAGCTGACCTTTAGTTCAATGAACCTGTTTTTGTTTTTTTCAATCAGGTTGGGGTGCCTGGGTGTGAAGGGCTGCAGCCTATTAACTGTGACTGGGTCAGTTTCTGCCAGTAGCCTCTGTGCACACGCGTGTGTACTGCACAAGCACACGGTCACCGGGCAACGCTTAGTGCAGTGCCCTCTGTGTCCCCCGGTACCCCCGCATGCACACACTCCCTGGTGCTGAGGCCAACATGCAGAGACTGACCGCTGCTCACCCACACTCCATGCTGTTTACGCCCCAATCACTGCTCGCTGGCTGTTAGCGCCGTTGCCAGGAGAACGGTGGCTGCACTGTCCCCTGGGCTGGGCCAGCCAGCTGTTTGGATGTGTGTACCTGCACGGGGGCCAGTCCCGGGACATGCATGGGCTGTGGAGGGGCCAGCTAGGCCTGGAGTCTAGACTTGGAACCAGGCCCTGGGACTTGGGGGGAACCACTCCCAAACAGAGCTTTCCCTAACCTAGGAACACCCCCTCCTCCCCCAGCCCCAGGTCCTTCAGGGGGCCCCTCTTAGCACCATATTTAAGACCTTCCAGACTAGAGAAACTGGATCTAAAGTCCCCCAACCTCCACCTTCCCAGCTGGGAGAAGGGAGGCATGGATAGGTTGTCTCCATGACTGCCCGCAGAAGGCAGACCTGTCCCAAGAGACCCCTGATTTCTGAACCTGACCGAGCCTTGTCATGGCAATGCATGGGAGGGAGGGCGCGGAGGGTCTCACAGGACATTCCCGGCCAATGGGACCGGCTGGGGAGCAAAGTCCCAGAGAGCTAAGCCCCCTCCTCCCCAATAGACATCCGTGTCACCACTTCCCTCCTAGAAAGGGCACAAAAGGGAAGAAACAATGAGGACAGCAGCCAAGGACAGAGAAAATAATCAAACAGGGGAGCCCCGGGGCGCCAGGGGCCGGCGCTGGTGGGCGGAGGCGGCAGGCGTGTTACCCTGTTGTCGGCTAATTCTCGGAGCAGGCGCTCGGCCTGCGCCTTCTCCAGCAGCAGGCTCTGCTCCAGCTCCCCAATGCGCGCGTGCTCCAGCTGTGTCTGGGTCTGGTCCACCCGTGGGTGGGAGGGAGGGGCAGGGCAGAGGGCACAGGGAAAGGAAGCCGGAGGAAGAGAGAGGGAAAGAGAGAGAGAGAGGCCGTGTCATCTACCATGAACAAGACAGGAAAACAGGTCGAGGAGAGGAGGTGGCTGAGGGAAAGAGAGGTCTGGTGAGGTGGGCCTGCCTCCTGCCCTGTGTCCTGGCTGGGTTTCTTTAAGGGCACCCTGGGTCCCTTCTGTCACCTCCAGGTGGCCCTCCCCTTTGCAGCTCTGGGGAGGAGTGCCAGCCTTCTCCCCTTCCCCACGGGGACTCTGCGGGCTGTTTTTCAGGCCAGGCCCAGGGTCCTGCACACAGGCCACCAGGATGGAAGAACAGTAAATGACCCCAGGATTCCTGGCCCTCAGGCCTGTGCTGAAGGTGGATGAACCAAATGAATGGAAGGTTTTCAAAACTATACCCACACCATCATGGTTCTCCCAGCCTGGCCTCCCTGGTGGAGGCTGAGCTGTGCCTCCCACTGCCCAGCCCCAAGCCCGGCCTGTGGTGGCCACCCGCCCCCCCGCCACTCCCCCATCCCCCCCACCCCGGGCCCTGCAGAGACAGCCAGTCTCCCGAAAGCACAAGGGCATTTCTGTCCCAGCTTCACAACTCCCACTTCACACACTAACAAAGCCCGGCATTCTTCGGGCATCTGGGCTGGCATTTGGGTTCCCATAGCAGATCGGTGAGCACCCAGACTAGCATGGAGACCAGTTCACGGTAGGGAGAGGCATGGTCCTCCTTACCCTCCCGCCTGTCCCCTCCTCGTCCAGGAGAAACAAAGTTAAAGCAAGTCCGCGGGGGCAGTTCTGAAGAAGCAGGTTCACCAACGTGCACATATTTGTAAGAAGAATACACACCCGACACCGGCAGGGCTGAGGGCAGCTGGGTAAGCTGGTACCTCCCGTTCCTGAAATACGTCTGCAATTCATCAAGAACTACTGAGACGTTCATGTCCGGTGGCCTGTGACCTTATATATTTCTGAGTTTTCCTAAATGAACTAAAAAGGTTCCCTCTTTCTCTCTCAAGAGGGCAGCAGGCTGCAATGCTAACAAGCAGCTACGCTCAGTCTCTTCCAGAAAATCACAGGCTGACGATGGTGCCTCATCCCAGCCTCGCAGGCCATCACCCTGCCCCCTTCTCCCCAATGGTGGGCACAGCAGCACTGCCCGAGACCCAGGCTAGACGGAGCATGACCATAAATGCCCTACTGGTGGCCCCACAGGCAAGGAAAAGCCCCGAGCCTTACAATTTAAGGGCAATTTCATTTGGTGTGTCCCTGCCACCCCCCCAAGGGGACTCTTCTCCATCACCTTCAGAACATCTAGCCTCCTGGTCCATGGACCGGGGTCTTTGTGGGGGCACAGGGGAGCTCAGTGGAATTGCTCTGGTGCTCAGTTAATTAAGGTAAATTCGATGTAGGAGCTTGAGGGGCAGCCTCAGAGGCTAGATTTTAGGTGGGGTGGACGGTTTGGCCTCCCATTCTGCTCCAGGGCACTGCCCAGGGCCTGTGGGGGGCCACCACACTCCTGTTTCAGACACTGTCAGGGCCCCTGGAGTTAATGTTCTGAAAGCCACTATCAAGGCCGTCTCCCCAGCCTGCGGGAGAGGTCACTACAGGCAGAAAAAGCCTCAGGCTCAGAATCGCACTTCGGGCAGCACAAGGTCCAGACTCAGGCCGCTGGACCCAGGACTGGCGCCTTTCCCGGACCAGCTGGACTCAGAGGGGAGGCAGGGTTTCCACCAGCAACGGGAGCAGTGACAGACTCCTGAGTCCTGTCCTGGAGCTCAGTCCAGCCTGAAGGGCCTGCGGCTCATTTCCTTCTCCTCACATGGACCGTGTCACCCCATCCAAAGCACACAGCCACGCCTGGCACATTGTTATTATTAATTAAATGGGGAAGGAGTTTCCCCAACTGCACAAGGGGCTCCTGAAGGTCATGGGCACATGTCACTCCTCTAGATGTCCCTTCAGGCCTCGCACCAAATCCTCCTCAACCAATAGCTGATTCTGCGTTCATAAAACTGGCTCTTTCTGTTACATGAAAATGAATAAAAACACTGAGGGGCTATTTAATTAACAAAAAATAACCTGAACCTTGGTGTCAGGGAGTGGCACAGGTTTCTATGATGCAACAGGGCAACACCCCTGTGGGGACCACAAAACACATCCCAGCCTGTGACCCGGGATTCCCTCCTGGAGAAGCACTGGCCATGCCCCTGCTCTGCTCTGGCTTCGGGGACATAAACGGAAAAAAGACAGACAGGGTCCCCACCCCCAAGGGGCTCACACTCTAGGGAGGGGTGCAAACAATAAATGATCAGGGAAGATAACTTCAGGCTGTGGCTCGAAATAGGGACAGAGCACCGGGTGGCGGGCAAGTGGGATGGAGGTAAAGGAGGAGGCTGCGGAAGCTCTCCAAGAGGCCTCCTCAAGGTGAGACCTGCAGGGGAAGCAGGACCCAGGCAGGGGTGGAGGAGTGAGTGTTTCCGGCAGAGGAACCAGCACGTGCAGAAGCTCAGAGGCAGACAGAGCGTGGGGTGTTCCAGAAGCAGAGGAGCCCCTGTGCCTGGAGCAGAGGTGCTCGGGGCGGGATCCCCAGGGTCTTCCGGGCCATTCTCCAGAGCCTGGCTTTTATCTAGGGTGGTGGCACGGATGTGTGAGCAGAAAACGGACAGGATCTGATTTACGTTTTTAAAAGATTTGGTCATATGATGTCTGCAGTTTGCTTCAAAATAACATGGGAGGGGGATAGGGGAGTGTGGCTGGAACGAGTGACTATGAGGTGAAAATCGTTGAATGTGTAAAAGAGGGTTCAAAATTTTCCAATGTTAAAAATTAAAAAGATATTTTTAAAAAGGCTACGTGGCTTCAGTGTGAAGAACGGACAGCTGAGGAATAAGAGCAGAAACAGAGCAGCCAGCTGGCTGTGCAGCTGTCCGAGGCAGGGCGCTGTGGCTGACCCAGGAAGGTGGACGTGGGGATGAAGATCATTTTGGCGGCAAGGTCAAAAGGATGTCAGATGAGAGATGAGGGAAAGAGAAGGTTCAAGGTGAATTTGAGCTGTGGGGCCTGAGCATCTGTGTGGATTGTGGGCCAGTTGTGAGATGAGAACGGTAGGGGGTGGTGTGAGGGAGAGACAGGAACAAACAGATCTGTTTGGGACATGTCACATGTGGGCTCCTGTACTGGACTGAATAGCATCCCCCAAATTTCATACCCACCTGGAACCTCAGAACATGACCTTGTTTGGAATAGGTTCTTTGCACATGTAATTAGTTAAGATGAGGTCAGACTAGATTAAGGTGGGCCTGAAATCCAATGACTGTCCTTGTAAGAAGGTCACGTGAAGAGACACGGGAACACACAGGAAGGAAGGCCATGCGATGAGGGAGGCAGGGAGGCAGCTACAAGCAACCCACCAGAGCTGGGAGGGAGGCATGGAGCATTCTCCCTGAGGCCTCCAAAAGGAATGACCCTGCCCACACCTTGATTTCAGACTTCTGGCCTCCAGAATTGTCAAAGAATAAATTAGTGTTGTTTTAAGCCACCGAGTTATAGTAATTTTTTTTATTTTACTGCAGCCCCAGGAAAGTGCTACAGGGGCCTGTCACCTACCTGTCCAGGTGGCACGCCAGTGCAGGGCTCAGGGAAGACCCGGGGAATCATGGGCTTATTAAGGACATTTAATGTCACAGACTGGAAGCTCTCAGGGAGAGCGTAGACCAAGAGGCAAGTGGGCCCGGACTGAGCCCTTGGACAGGCCAACATCGGGGTCAGGAAGGAGGCTGTGAGGGTGGAATGAGGCGCCTCCTGTGGTTGGGGGAGCAAGGTCAGGGGGAGGACAAGCAGAGAGATGGGGTGATATAGCTGGAAGGTGTTATGAGTTTTATTTTTGACTTTTAAGATGAGTGGGGATGAATGGAACTTTGGGACAATTTGCCTTTTGGTTACCATGAATATGGTCACAATAAAAACAGCAGCAACAGGACTCTACTGCCTTTGGACTGAATTAGCTGTCAGTCATTGTCTGTCCCACCCCCTGCCTCTCCCAGCCAAGAACAATTGGATCTGGGATGGAAGCTGATCTAAAGTCAGATAGCTCATTGGCTATCCTGAGATCAATCAGATTCTCTTGAGAGGACAGCTAGTAGCTAGTGGATGCTGGAGCCTGAGTGGGGCCAGGAGGCTGGGTGGGTGGTGGGGAGAGGGAACAGATGTACCAAGGGACATGGAGACACGGGAGAGAGACAGACAGACACGAAGCCTGACCACATGTTATGAGAAGAAGGAAATCCCTGGGTGGGAGAGAACGGGCTTGGATCCTAATGCTGTTTCTTGTTCCAGTTCCCTGAACTGCCTGTGGGATTTCCCTGTAGGCTTTTCCCCATTGACTGGAGTTGGCAGGAGGGGGTCTCTGTTCTTCTCACCTACAGGCACTTTTCCCAGAAGCCCACCCCAAGCCCTGCAGGAGATAGCCATCCAATGGGAAAGCCAGCCAAACAACCCCATGACCTGCCCCCTTGGCTAAGAGGGGAACATCCATGAGAACCCCCTGACGCTGGCCTGGGCTCCTACGCCATGTTGTGCCCTGACATCCATCCTTTAAGCTTGAGAAGGAAAACCTGCCCCAACAGGGGCAGCTGGCAGTGACCCTGTGCAGATCATACATGTCCCTCCCCAGCGGGAGTCATCTAGGGGACAGGACAACCATTCGCATGCTTTTGCGGTGCTTCGGAACTTACAAGGATATTACTACAGCTCTTTTACAAAATCAAAAACTGCAACTTCCAATCTGAGCTCAGAATGATCTAGTGCAGTGATTCCCAAAGTGTGACCCTACAGCCGCACCTGGGAGCTCGTTAGAACTCTCAGGTTCCACCCAGACCAGCTGAATGAGGCTGGGGCCAGCCTTCTGTAGCTGAACAAGCCACCCAGGTGATGAATCCTCAAGTTTGAGAATCACTGACCTAGTTCGACCTCTTCATTTTACAGTAGAGCAAACAGGCTCAAGAAGGGAAGAGGCTGCCCAAGGCCAGTTGGGGCAGCTCAGCATGTGGGGAGGGACTGAACGCACTGTGGTATCTGCATGGTTTCGTGAGGAGGGCCGGGATGGGGAGGGTGGGGTGCTTACTAATTGATGTGAACACCCCCGTCCCTCAGCTTAGAAAGGGTGGGCTGGATTGAAGAGTGCAAGGTCCACTGTGTCTAGACCACTTGTCCAGGCATTATAACAAGGAGGTGCTATAATGGCCATCCTTTCCGGCTGAGCTCAGAAGTCAGGAGTCCTGGCCCCCGGTCCCAGGGGCTACTGACTTGCTCTATTACTGGGTGAGTCCATTTGCCTTTCTGAGTCTGTTTTTCCATCTATAATTTCTGTGACTCAACAACAAGCTAATTTTAGCCAAAATTTTACCTGGAATCTAAGATGAACTAAGGGCCCAGGGTCCACCTTTAGGGCCATTACCCAACAAGGCAGGGACTGGGGAGTCCAGCCAATACGTCCTCAGGCCTGTGGATGCCTTGATGGCCAAGACAAGAAGCATGGCCCCTCAGGCTCCGGGAGCTGAGCCATTCCCACCTGTGACATCTGAGTCTCTCATGACCAACCCCTCCCCACTCTCCCAGAGTATGACCTTTGGCCCTTCTTCATTTCTCCCTCAAAACCCCCATGGCCCCTCCGAGGGGACCCGGAAGTGCTGCCTGGACCGCATGGCCATTTGCCCACAAGGGCTGGGCCTGGGGTGCCGAGCAAGCCAGGCGGTGCCTGTGACTGTTACCTCCAGGTCTCCCTTGGTGATGGACTCCTCCTCCACGCGGAACTGCAGGTCCTCCACCTTCCTGCGGGGGGAGAAGGAGCTGAGCGGGCTTTGCCCAGACAGGTGGGCTTCCCCAAGTCAGCAACGGCAGAGAGATGAGGCCACAGATGGCCCAGAGTCCGAGGTCAGACCACACAGAAGGTGCTGTCCCCGTCTAGGGGACACCTGCCCAGAGCCACACGGCTGATGGGGCAGAATCTCCTGCAAACCTCCAGCCTCCCAGCTTCCCGGCCTGTGCTCCACGCAGAGACCACCGACTTCTCTAAAATGGGAGTGCTCAATGCCACATCCTTCCTCCCAGGGTGGCTGTGGGAATAAATGAACACAGAGTGATGCTAGTGGCCACTCCGTTTTCACCACTGCAGGGGACGGACACGGCCACACAGAATAGTGGAGGGCGGGGGGTGCAGTGGGGGGAGGCAGGGAAGGAGGGTAGGCTTTTCCCTGCTGACCCACACTCATTCACAGGCCTCAAAACTGGGGGCTACAGTCCCAATCCCCACTGCTCCCTGATGTGGAGGGCACCACCCGCGGGGAGACACATTCACCCACCCGTGTGCCAAGACGCCACAGGGGAGACACAGGCACATTACAGCTCACAAAGCGGCTCTTGGGCTTCTGACAGCTCCCAGCATACAGATGAGGAAAACTGAGGCCCAGAAAGGGCAAGGGACCCGCCCAAGCGCATCCAGGGCAATGCTGGGTCCTGTACCCAGGCCCTTCCTGAACACAAATCCCACAATGTCTTAAAGATCTGCTTTTGTTTTTAGGCAAGCAGGCGTGTTGCCATGGGAACCAGATGTGTGGACCCTGACAAGCATCTCTGGCAGATTTAAGTAAGCCCTCCCCTCCCCAGTCAGATGGTACAGCCTGTGCAGCACATGCCTGGCTGAAAGTCCCAAAACAGACCCATGGTGGGGGGCTGCCTACTACACGGGGAAGGGAAGGAAGCCACAGAAATCTGTGTCAGCCAGGAGACAGAGAAGCTCCTGGGCCAAGGGAAACCCTGTCCCCCATGTGACCCAGGACCAAGCCAGGCCAGGGTACCCACAGAAAGGGAACCACAGCCCCACTAGCCACCGAACCTGGGCAGAAAGAACCAGCGAATGATGAACAGGCTGGTGGCCTGGGACAAGTCCCTTTCCTACCCTGAGCCTCAGTTTCTCACGAGTGACATGAATTAACACCTGCCTAGGCTAATAGTGAGGTTGAGACAGTGCAGGTACAGCACTCAGCATGGGGCTGACACCAGGTGCAAGGCGTTTCAAGCATCCCTTTGCTGCTGCTTCTCTAAGCCTCAGTTTCTTGACATGTGAAATGGGAACAGAGCTTCTGGACAGGAGCTATGAGCTCCATGCACAGAACCTGCCCCAGAGGGGCACTCCGCGGACCTGAGCTGGTTCAAGGGGTGAGAGCACTGGCTCTTCCTCATGGTGCATATCTCCCTCAGGCAGTGATGGCGAACCTTTTGAGCTCGGCGTGTCAGCATTTTGAAAAACCCTAACTTAACTCTGATGCCGTGTCACATATAGAAATTTTTTGATATTTGCAACCATAGTAAAACAAAGACTTATATTTTTGATATTTATTTTATATATTTAAATGCCATTTAACAAAGAAAAATCAACCAAAAAAATGAGTTCGCGTGTCATAGGTTCGCCATCACTGCCCTAGGGGCACGGGCCACCCCCTCCACGGGGCATTCTCCTCATGACAGGCTTCCTGAGCCGTGTGTGGCAGGAACAGTGAACCCACACAGGTGGGAAGGACAGTGTCCCCATGTGTTCAGCACATGCTGGGAGCTTTACTGGAATTATCATGTAAGTGCCCCCAACAGCTTGTAGATATGGGGATCACCAGCCCACATTACAGATGAGATGACTGAGGCCCACAGAGCTCATGTCACTAGTCCAGGGGATGCAGCCTGTAAGTGGTGGAAGCCGGATTTGGACCTGGGTCATCCTACAGAGGCTCAGAGAAAATGTGCTCCCAGGACCAGGGCAGGGGCAGCACATACCTCCTCTCCTCCTCCAGCTGGTTGGACAGGTCTACCTTCTCCTTCCGCACGCTCTCCACCAGCAGCCGGGCCCGCTGCAGCTTCTCCTCTGCTTCTGCAACATACTGGGCCCCCAGCAAGGACAGAACAGGGTCAGCCTCCTTCTGGGGACCGGGGGCCAAGTGGGGGAGGGGTGGGAGGTAGCAGGGGTGGGTGCAAGGAGTCAGGCCTGGAACCCTAGCCACCCCTACTCCCCTGCCAGCCTTAGGTGAGCTTGGACTGTGGGCCTGATGTGAGGGGTGGGCCTGATGTGATGGGTAGGCCCAGCTGCGGCCTCACCCAGTGGGAACCTCAAGTCCACCTGCCCCCATATCTAGCACCCCAATATCTGCCACCTCCCCCAACTCCCAAGGACCTAAAACACATTGTCTTGAGAAGGCCCCTGCCACAGCACACATAAGCTTGGCCTTATTTTTTATTTTTATTTATTTTTTTTTAAGTTTTTTTTTTTTTAATGTGAAGGAAGCCTATTTTTTATTTTATTTTTTTAAATATATTTTATTGATTTTTTACAGAGAGGGAGGGAGAGGGATAGAGAGTTAGAAACATCGATGAGAGAGAAACATCGATCAGCTGCCTCCTGCACACCTCCTACTGGGGATGTGTCCACAACCAAGGTACATGCCCTTGACCGGAATTGAACCTGGGACCTTTCAGTCAGCAGGCCGACGCTCTATCCACTGAGCCAAACCGGTCAGGGCTGGCCTTATTTTTTAAATATATTTTTATTGATTTCAGAGAGGAAGGGAGAGGGAGAGAGAAACATCAAAGATGAGAGAGAATCATTGATTGGCTGCCTCCTGCACGCTGCCCCCTATAGGGGATTGAGCTTGCAACCTGGGCAAATGCCCTTGGCCAGAATCGAACCCGGGACCCTTCAGTCTGCAGGCCAATGCTCTATCCACTGAGTCAAACTGGCTAGGTCTGAACTTGGCCTTATTAATTCCAGCACCCAAGAGAGGGGTGAGCTGGCCCCAAATGGGGGCAGTGGCCCAGGAGGGGGCTCTCACGCAGGTGACAAACATCAGGGAAGAGTAGACATGCGACAGCAGATGACTCAAGGCTGTCTGCAGGGGATTACTTCCCTGAAGCCCAACCCACGAATCTGCTGGAAAGTTCAATCTGAAACGAGGACAGGTGTACACAGAAAATGTGTGCACGAGAGTTATTTTGAAAAAGTGAGAAACTGGAAACAATTTAAACAATAGCAGGGGACTGGCCACGTCAGCAAGGACGCAGCCTGTGACAGCGACAACGCAGCTAGCTGTTCAGATGGGGAAGAATGTTCCATGACCGAGGAAAGGCTCGTACTGAGGAGGTAGGAAAAAGCAGGGGACAGTTTATTTCCAGGTTCTTTTTTCTAACTTTCTTTTTTTAAAGATGTTGTTACTTATTTTAAGAGCGAGAGGAAGGGAGAGAGAGATAGAAACATTGATGAGAGAGAATATCAACACTGATCGGCTGCCTCCTGCACAACCCCTGCTGGGGATCAAGCCTGCCACCCAGGCATGTGCCCTGACGGGGAATCGAACCGTGACCTCTCAGTGCACGGGTGCACACTCAACTCCTGAGCCTCACCGACCGGACTCTATCCAGCTTCTGAAAGCATGTGAACCTATCCACTGGAAGGACTTCCACCAGTTGGAGGAGGAGTCTTCTCTGCACATCCATCGTCTGCACTCTGAGTGTGAGTGACCTGTGAGCCTGGCCTGGGGAGGCTGCTGGTGCCCCTCTGGGTGCCCACTGCCCGCCTGCCCACCCACCTGCTCATGCTGCGCCTTGAGCAGGGCGATCTCCTTCTCCACCTCGCAGATGTGGCTCGTGGCCTTGGCCACCTCAGCCCGCTCCAGGTCCCGTTCAGCCAGCAGCTGCTCAATGTGCTGCTGCTTCTCCTTCAGTGCCTCTTGCAAGGCAGTCGTGCCGGAGATCTTGCGGGCGTAGCGTGAAGAGGTCTCCGTGAGCTGCAGGAGGGCATGGGTGCAGGCAGAAGCATATTATTTCAGATTCAGGAAACTCCCCCCTCCCAGGAGAGTCACAGCTGGGGCTCTGCCTCTGGGAGGCTCCCTCCCGGGCCACCTTCTCCTGGGTCAGGAGGAACCTGTCATCCTAGAACAGCGGTTCTCAACCTGTGGGTCGCGACCCCTTTGGTGGTCAAACAACCCTTTCACAGGGGTCGCCTAAGACCATCCTGCATATCAGATATTTACATTATGATTCATAACAGTAGCAACATGACAGTTATGAAGTCGCAACGAAAATAATTTTATGGTTGGGTCACAACATGAGGAACTGTATTTAAAGGGCCAGAAGGTTGAGAACCACTGCCCTAGACTGAGCTTGGCTAGAAGCTCTCTGCCCAGAAGGGCAGCCTCACCTTTTCCCCTCATCCAGGGTGCCTGTGGCAACCTTTTCGAAACCCGCACCTGTATGACCTGCCCTGCATCTGTATGACCCTCAACTCCCAGGAAAGGCTCAGGCTACTGACAAATCAGTAATATAAAAATAACAATAATGTAAATGGATCAATTTTCCTCGTTAAAAGATATGTGCTTTCATCTCTCCTCGAAAACTCCAGTCTGAGGATGCCTGGCGCTAGTGCAAGTCAGGGGCACCTGGATCCCTCTGTCCTCAATCCCCACACATACATCAGGACACCCCTCCCAGCCCCACCCTCACCAGGCCACTGCGGCTGGGCCGGCCCCCCACAGAGGAAGCCACAGAGCTGACGGAGCTGATGGAGGAGCTGCTGGGACTGTGGGTCAGCGCTGACACACCCATGGCCATTCGCTTGGTCTTCTTGGCTTTGGCTGGGCTGGTGGACGGGAAGCCGATGCGGATCACCTTGTGGATGGGCGCGAAGAGACCAAACTTGGGTGGGCACTGGAAGTACCTGGGGAAGCAAGAGAGACCCATGCTGGCATCATGGCCGCATAGCCTGCAGCTTCACCTGCCTCCCCACCTCCTCAGAGCCCAGTAGAGAGGCTCATCCTTATGGTACAATCACCCATATCCCAAGACCAGTAGAAGAGACTCCCAGAAAGGGATTAGAGTAAGTAGGGCCTGAGATTCCTGGGGTGGGGTGTCCTGGTGTATGTATGGGGGTTGGGAACAGCTGTTGGGCATATCTGGGGGGAGGCAGGCGAATAACAATTACTGAGCACATGCTCTGCCCCAGTCCCTTTTCATGAATGCTCATTTTAAGCCCCCAACCACTCCACTATTGTCTACATTTCACAGATGAAGAGACAGGTTCAGAGAGGTTCAGTAACTTGCTCACAGTCACACAGCTGGTCAAGTGGCAATGCTGGGACTGGAACCTCTAGCCTGCTGGGCTCCAAAACCGACTATGCTTGGCTCCATTCAGAGGCCACCAGGCATATCTGCAGCCCCACTCTCATGGTTCACCCCAGACCCAAGGAACCCCATCAGCTCTCTGCCATGGAACTCCCTGAATAGAGAAGCAAAAGTGTGTGTGTGTTGGGGGTGGGGGTGGGGGGTTGCCACCCAACCTGCCCCTGAGGTCAGAAAGCAGGAGTAAGTTGAGAGAAATATCGGTCTTGAAAACAGGAAGGCAAAGTGTTGTTATGGAAACTCTGGGTGATCTCTTGAAATCTCTCCGGTCAAGGAGTCTACACGGGACCAGGCGAGCTAGTTCTGTCCAGTTTCTGACTCACTTTTAAACGACCACCCCGCCCCTCCTCTTCCTGCATTAAGGTCTTTGCTCGGGCTGTCCCCCAGCCTAGCATAGCTTCCTTCTCAGGGCTGCCACAGACTCATCTGGGCCACAGAAGCTAATCCAGGCATAGCCAACGCAGGAACACAGGCCATCTAGCCCAAGCCCACATCCCTGACACTGCTCACCCATCATATCACCCAACCCCATCCCCAATGATTGAGGCACAGTCTTAGATCCTCTTGACCCTGCATTCCCACAGTCAGTTCCCTTTAACTGGAGATGGCATGGAGCATAGAACCAGTTGTGACCCCACCCTTGCCTGCAGAGCTCACTGTCTGATTTCCTGTGTTGCCCAGAGAAATCCCAGGGAGGCAGGGACCACTGCCTCTCCTAGCATTTGCCCGACTCTGTGTGACCTTGAGCAATGACCTTTCTGGCCTCCATTCCCTCATCTGTAAAATGGGGATGATAGCTCCACTATCTGCCCCGCACACTGCTGTGACAGGATGGAGGCAGCATCTGTACTGTGGTGTCTGGCACAGCCACCCACACACTCAACACTGGCTTCCTCAGCTGCCCCATCCTTGTCCCCTGCACCCACCCCAGGCAAAGACAAGCCCCCTCCCACACTCCTGGGGGAAGCCCGCCGTACCTGGTGCCCGCCACCGCCCCATCGTTCTTCCCAAGGGGCTCGTCCAGCTCCACGCCACACCACTCGCCCTTGGCAAAGTCCGTCTCCCCCACATAACGCACCACGCCAGTCTTTGTCCCGCCAACCTGTTGGCACACGGAGAGACTCAGGGCTAGAGCAGACAGTGGGCACAGGCAGAGGTGGTGCAGGGACCCAGGTGCCAGGCTCACCCCACACCTCCTTTCCAATGTGCAGGAGAGAGGAGAGCTGGGGTGAGGAGGGATACGGCTATACCCAGTACTTCTCAGGGCTGCCCCTGGCAAGAGCTGTGAGACGGACAGGTAGGCCTGCATTCAGACTCTGCAGTGTGAGCTTGAGCACGCTACCGAACCTCTGAGCTTCAGCGTCTTTATCTGTGAAAAGGGAGTTTGTGAGGGCTAAGCGCTGTGTGTGCAGTACATACTAGAGTCTCAATACATCTTATCCTTTAAAATGGATGTTTCAAATGGCGGTTGCCAGGGGCTGGCAGGAAGAGGGAAACGAAGAGTTGTAGCTTAAGGAACAGTTTCAGGTTTGCATGATGAACAAAATCTGTAGATCTGTTGCACGACAGCGTCAATGTACTTAACATACTGAACTGTACACTTCAAATGGTTAAGAAGGTGCATTTTCTTTTTTAAAAAATATATTTTATTGATTTTTTTACAGAGAGGAAGGGAGAGGGATAGAGAGTTAGAAACATCAATGAGAGAGAAACATCGGTCAGCTGCCTCCTGCACATCCCGCAGTGGGGATGTGCCCGCAACCAAGGTACATGCCCTTGACTGGAATCGAACCTGGGACCCTCAAGCCCGCAGGCCGATGCTCTATCCACTGAGCAAAACCGGTCAGGGCAGGTACATTTTCTTATGTGTATTTTACCACAGTCAAAAAAATTCACAGGATAGAGTACTAAGTGAGACTATTACTGTAAAAATAGTTATTTAAAAAATTAAAGTTATTTATACATAAAGAGTCAGATACTTCTAAAGCTGCCCTGAAAGTTTCTCTACTTCTCCCCAGAAGCAAAACTGTAACTCTTTAAGCTGAACTGCTTGATATTTTACCTCCATATTTCTAACTGGCATGCTTATGTTGCTACTTTGTGCCTTTTCAATTTTGGGTGCCATTCACTGACTTCCCATCAAGGAAGGGAGGTGCAAGATGCCCATCACCGCTGCTTCACACCTACTTCTGGGCTTGCCACCCTGTAGGGATGTTGATCGATCTGGGTTTACAGAGCTATGACCAAGCAAGCAGTACTCAGGGCCCCTCTCCCCTGGGGTGGGAGTCTGGCTAGAGCACTAACAAGCCTGCCCCCGCCCCAGCGAGGTGCTGCTGCAACCTTAGTCCTCAGCTGCCTCCGGAGCGGAATCCTCTGTCCCTTTCTGTCTTTAACAGGATGAAACCAGACAGGTATCCTCAGAGATGGGAGCAGAGCGGAAAGAGTGGGACAGTCTCCAGAGGGGACGGGTCTGGTGCCTGAGCCCCGCCCAGGCCACCACAACCTGGGGAAGCTCACCTCCCTGAAGCCCCAGAGATTCTGCAGCGGCTCCCTCACGTGTGTGCCAGGCCTGCCCTCCAGTGATGAGAACTGCCCCTTCTCCATTTACTATTTTTTGAAAAGTAAGATATTTAAATAGATTTTATTGATTTTTTACAGAGACAAAGGGAGAGGGATAGAGAGTTGAAACATCGATGAGAGAGAAACATCGATCAGCTGCTGGGGATGTGCCCGCAACCAAGGTCCATGCCCTGGACCGGAATCGAACCTGGGACCCTTCAGTCTGCAGGTCAACGCTCTAACCACTGAGCAAAACCGGCTAGGGCTCTATTTACTGTTTTTATTATGCTGCCCAGGATCAAACTGCTGTCAGGGGCAGAGCTGAGCTCACACCCAGGCTTGTACAACCCCTAAGCCTACCTTCCCACTTTGCCACCTCGACATCCCCTGCTGGGTGTTTGACCTAGGAGTTGTGGGGGCAGGACTGGTAGAGAGAGAACCTCATTCTTCATCTCTCAGGACCCTGTTCCCGTACCTAATCGGGCCAGTTGCCAAGGGGACCCTGGAGGGACACAGCCCTGTGGAGAACCGACCGGCCCAGTGGGGGAGCGTCGCTGGTCAGACTGCCTGGTGGGCTGGTACACTCCGGTTACCTGCATGCTAGGCTGGCCTCGGCTGTGAGCTTTAAGATGTACTGGGAGCCTGGCCAGTGTTGCTCAGTGGTTGAGTGCCGACCCATGAACCAGGAGGTCATGGTTCGATTCCCGGTCAGGGAATATGCCCAGGTTGTGGACTTGATCCCCAGTGTGGGGCATGCAGGAGGCAGCGATCAATGAGTCCCTTTCAGCATTGATGTTTCTATTTCTCTCACCCTCTCCCTTCCTCTCGGAAATCAATAAAAACATTATAAAAAATATGTGCTGGGCGAGGGTAGCAGGTGGTTCTCTGGAAAGGTCCCACCCTTCTCGGGTTGCCTCTGCGCCCACTGCGTGAAGGAACGTGAAGGGACGGAGCCTTCACCTACACGGAGCGGCTCCACTCAGATCCCGCTTCGAGGACGGCCTGGCTGCCCTGCTTCGAGCCCCTCGGGACTGGCCCTTGTTGCAGGCCCCCCTCACCTGAGCTGAGGCCTCTGCTGGGGCAGCCACACCAAGTGACGGAAAGGTGGACACCTGGCTCAACACGGGTGCTGTGATGGACAGTCTCTCTCTAGAGCTCCCGGGCTGGCCAAGCTCTATCCCCCTGCGTGCAGTCTGACTTCTCCTTCTGCCCAGTCTCCCATAGATGCTGAAATCCTTCAACATCTGCACCGCAAGCCCAGCTCAGCAGCTACTCCTGGAGAGCCCGACCTGTCACGGCAGCCTTTCTGCCACTGACGTCCTTGGGGGTCAGAGAGCTCTCCCACCACCTCGCATCTGTCTCCACGTCTTTGGCCCAGGGTGACTCCTGGAGCCACAAGCAGCCAGCCAGGCCTCTTCCTTCCTGAGACAACGTTCTCTGTTCCTTGCTAATTATGCCCCACAGTGTCAATGGTAGATGACCAAGACATTTCTGCTCCCCCACCCAGGCTGCTGGGCACACAGAAGGTGGGGGACACAGGGGACGTTCCTGGGCTGGTAGGTAGAAGCCCAGAGTCCCCATCTCAGCCTTGCCCATGCCCTGCTGTGTGACTCTGAGCAAGTACTTGCCCTCTCTGGGCCTCACTGTCCTCACTCAAACAACAATCAGGGCCTGGTGGTTTCTGCCCCAGCAGGCCTCTCTCTGAGTCAGGATCGGCTCTCATTGGTCAATGACCCGCAGGTGGGGTTGTCTTCCCAATCCCTCCTGTCACCAGGTCTCAACCTGCCCCCTCGGTTCCTGCTGCTCTGCATTTCCAACCTGGAATGTCTTTTGTCTTCAACAACCTCAATCCTAAACTGGTGGTTGTGTGGCTGGTCCCTGCGTCTGCCACACCAGCCATGCTGCCTCTGAAACCGACTTCCCTAAAACCCATGCAGACAGACCACCTCCTGGGCTACGGCAGGGGCAGAGGGTGGGAAAGCCAGGCAGGACAGCCAGGCTCTGGGCCCAGCTCGGCTGCTTCCACTGTAGGTGCTGTGGGAAACGCGGGCCTCTCAGTCTGTGAAATGGGCGACTGTGAGAACAAGAGGTGATCCAGAAACCCAATGCACAGCTCCAAACAGCATCTGAAAATCGGGTCAGACAGGCATGTAACACAACTTCCAGTATTTAGGTGACACTATTCGGGGAAGGGGAGGCATGTTTCTCTTGTGGTCTCCAGGTCTCCCTCTCACCCTCCAGAGGTTCCTCCAGGGACCAGGGCCTCTCAGGGCTGAAGAGGAAATCGATGGTGGGTGTAAAGTTTTCGGCACAGGATTCCATTCACAGCAAGCGCTTGACCAATAGAAGCCAAGGACATTCAGGCCATCGTGAGCCACTGTGTGCCCTCAGGGAGCCTCCCTGATCTCTGAGCACTTCACTGCACCCAGGACCCCCTGGCCGAGGAGAATGCCTACCCATCATGGAATTTAAAAAAAAGTTTTGATTGATTTTCAGAGAGAAGGGAGGAGAGAGAAATAGAAACATCAATGATGAGAGAGAATCATTGATCGGCTGCCTCCTGCACACCCTCTACTGGGGATGGAGCCATAATCGGAGCATGTGCCCTGATTGGGAATCGAACCGTGACTTCCTGGTTTATGGGTCAACACTCAACCACTGAGCCACACTGGACAGGCCCAACACGGACTTTAATGCTGAGAATAGCTAACACTTCACAGAGGTTACACAGAGCCACGCAAGACAGATGAACTATTATCCCCATTTTACAGTAGAAGAAACTGAGGCAGAGAGGATAAATAACTTGCCCATGATTACTTATCTAGTACACAAACCTTATGGGGTAGTGTTGAGGCCCAAATGAAACCAGGATCCAGGGGTATCTTTAAAGGGCAGCACAACTTAGTAAGCACAAATACCATTACTTATGTTCAAAAATAAGGAACACAGCTCACACCTTTGACCCAGGTCAGAAGCGGACTTGTGGTTGGTGAAGCTAACAGCTCAGGCAACAGGGACCCTCACCTGCATTGGCCTCTTCCAAGGCCCGGACAATGCATTCATGGGAATCACATGATTTACAAAATTTTCAAAAGCAGTTTTTCATATAGTTTTTCCTAGAGTCCCTCATCCTCAAATTGTGTAAGGTCAGGCCTCTATAGTCACCCATGTCTGGGATATAATTTTTAAGGGTGGGACAGGGACCAGAAGGAGAGGTGTCAGGTGTTCACAGCAGGTCCAGGGGAGAAAAGCAAGGTCCAGGGTCAGCAAGCCAGCTGGGTCCTGGCAGTGCTGGACCAGCCAGGAGGACTAACCCAAGGGCAGCTGCAGGCGAGGGTGGGGTGGGGGGCAGGTGAGGCCCAATCCTTGTGGTAGAAACAACCCCCTCATTCAGATTCCTCTCCCCCACCAGAATGCAAGGGCATCCGGGCAGGCACAGCTGATGAGTGAATAAAGGGATGAATGGCCCATCAGCTCCTGGCTGTGAGTCCGGGGCAGGCTGTTTCCCAGGCTGAGCCCAGTTTCCTCATCTGTAAAACGGGGGGATAACCCCTATCTCGTAAGGCAGAGGGGAGGACCCACAGGAACAAGGTACAGAAAGTGCTGGGCAGGTGCTCAGCATGGGGCACACCCCCCAGAAAGCATGTCTCAAAGAGAGGGCTCAGCCCACTTGTGGCTGGGAAGTCAATGGGGCGTCTGCTGCTACTGCTGCCAGCTCTGATGAAGGCCTTAGGTTTCAATGGGGAAATGGGTATAAATATTTCCTCTCGTCCCCCCAACCCAAATGTGCTTCCCAGAAGCCTCCAGGAGAAACCACGGCCCTGTGCGAGGTCTCTGGAGTGGGGAGGGAGTATCCCAGGCAGTGATAACTTGTTGGGATCCCCACATTGGGACTCCAGAGCCCGCCAAACCCTTCCCCGCTCAGCCTTAGAGCTCCGGCCATGTGCTCCCCACCCTGAGGTGGGAAACCCCTCCACTCGCCCCCACCTGACCTGAGCACAGGAACAGCTCCCTCCACCAACTGATACCTTTCCTTGACTCCTCAGACCCCAGGCCTGCCTGACACCCTTCAGGTAATTTTTTTTAGAAATGATCTCTTCTTTATTGCTACATTCATATAAAAAGTTTGATATATTTTGGGCTGGTAAAAGAAAGCCATTGTATATATAAAGAAAGTTGTAGGAAGTTAAAAAATATATGCCTTTAGTGTTTGGAAAAGCAGTTATGAATTGCTCCTTGGGTTTACGTATCCAGGCGATTGCAATTCTGGGTTTGGAACTCTTGGAAGTACTCTGGGATGGTGTCATTGCAGCGATACTTAAGGTTGGACCAGATGCTGTTTGCTTGGGAGAAGCAGAAGATGCTGAGCCGGCCTCCTCGCGTGGTGTTATTCTCACCTACCCAAAACCATGGTTCTTGAAGGACAGGGTCAGCCCGGAGCCACCTGGGCCCTGGATTTGGCACAGCAGGTCTTGGCCCTATTCTGTGTGTCTTGCCACCCCCAGCTTAGGTCTGGCTCACAGCAGATGCCAGGAAAACACTCCCACATTCATACTACAGGATGAATCCAGACTCTGAAGGGCTTGAGGGCAACTGCCCCCTCTTACTCCTGCCCCAATAGCGGGAGTACCGGAGAAGAGGGACCCTGGCAGGCAGACTTGCCTAGAGAGCCCGTGGGCTCTTGTGACCCAATTCTCTCCTCCACCGCAACAGTGATTAATTACTCTCCATTACAGTTAATTAGGTGTCTGAACCAACCGCCGACCCTGGGCCAGGGGTCTTGAGCACTCTAGTCCCTGGCCGTTTCAGTATTGGCCTGGCACATCCATGATGGTGGCCCAGATCAATGGATACCATCAATAATAGCTAACATTATGGGGCACTTACTAAGTATAGGCACCATCTAAAGGCATTATACATATTAATGCATTTCAACTTATGAGGAAGGTACTATTACAATTCCCATTTTATAGATGGGAAGACTGAGGCCCAGAAAGGATAAGACACCTGCCCAGGGTCACGCAGCGACAGTCTGCAGAGCCCACTTAACCTGTCTCCCTGGTCCCTCTGTGTGGTTCTAACAAGGAGTGGGTGACCCAGCCGGGACCCCACCCCTGCCAGCCCCCTGGTTCCAGCTTGCCTAGTGGGGTGCAGCAGTGGGGGGAAGGGACTCACCAGCACACGGTCTCCCAAGCGCAGGTCCTTGTCACCCCGCTTCACAGAGCCACTGTCCGAGAGGTTGGAGCCCGACTCGTTGCCTGTCTTGACGGAGCTGTTGAGGACACTCTCCCGAAGCGGGATGACGCGGCTGGTCAGCGGGGGTGTGGCTGTGCCCGAGTGCAGCGACAGGTTCTGGGCGGTCAGCGACTCCACCGAGTGGGTGTCGCTGCCCGAGCCCTCAGCCGTGGGCTGCCGGGTGAGCTTGGAGGGCCGCGTGAAGATGCCCTGCAGGGCCGGGCACTCGAAGTAGCGCACGCCGCCCACAGCGCCATCATTCTTGCCCACGGGCTCGTCCAGCACCACACCGGCCCACTGGCCGGGTGCGAACTGTGTCTCGCCCAGGTACTGCACCACACCTGGCTTCACGCCATTCACCCATACCCGCTCGCCGACCTCAAAGTCCCCCACGAAGTCATCGCCCACCTCGGCTGCCTTCGGGCCAGGCTTCTCAGAGGCAGCGGGCACAGCCACAGAGGGTGCCGAGGCCTGCTTGTGCAGTGGGGAGCCTGGAGAGTGAGGAGAGAGGCAATGGTTAGGGCTGAGTGAGAGCTGGAAGGTGCCAGTGCTGGTTACCTGATGGGGAAACTGAGGCAGGTGTGGTTGGCAGTGTGGGTTTGGGCAGGTCTCATTCTTCATGGACCTTGTGCCCCAGCAAAAGGCCATTCCTTGACAGCTGGCCATAGCCACATGCTGGGAGCCGGTCCATCCTTGCTGTTTCAAGGGACCTGGCATATATGGCATACTGTTCTTAATATGTTTACTCACCTTCTTGGCACTATGTGTTTTAACCAAGGTCGCCTCTCTGAGAATCACTTTAACTATGAATAATCATGCTTAAGCTACATAATCTTTACTCCCTGGAATGGAGATAAGAAACGCCCTAACCTTTGTAATAGAAATTGACAGGATTAAAATCAACTGGGATAAATACGGATGTAACAAGACAATAAACAGCAGAACTTCGCTGGAGATCCTGGCTAGAGATCCTGGCTAGGCTGCTGATCAACTGAACGCTGTCTCTGTGTCATTCCTTCTTCGCCGACTCCATCCACACCTTTGGGGACCCCTGGACCTGCTGGGGTTGGACCCCGGCATCCACAGACATTTTGGGGCAAAGAAAGAGCCAGGAAAAATATCTTACTCCACCCCTAAACCTCCCCTCTCCTCCTCCTTCCCAAGTCTGAGCCTCAGGGTTGTGCAGACCAGAATAAGTGGGAGGGAGGAGGGCAGGAGGAGGAAGCAAGTGTGTAACCTCATTCCTAGGACTGACCGTGGGGTTCTCTGGCCTGAACTGGGCCCCCTAACCCAGTCCTCCTTGTAGGAAGGAGGACCCTGAGGCTGAGAGAGGCAAAGGCCTCGCCCAAGGCCACACAGCAGAAATGGGACTCAAACTCTGGGAGGGGCCTACCTCCCAGGAGGTAGGGAAGGGAAGCAACTTGCTCAAGGTCACTCAGGAAAGGACAAAGCTGAGCTGGCCCCACCGTGCTCTGAGTGTGTGTGGCTCCTGGGTCCTAGGCTCCTGGGAAGGTGGGAGCTCAGAAAGCTTTGCTGTTTGCACCTCAAGGTCCGGAGGCTGCCCCTCCTTCCTGCCGGACCACGCATCAAGCAGAGGAGAGCTCGTCCTTCTCTGTTCCAGAAGCGATGGGCTTGTGAAACGCAGATGGAGACGGGGCAAGCAGGTGTTTCTGACCCTGATGTTTCCATGGGCAGCCAGTGGAGGGGGCCCAGGGCAGCAGCTCCAACCTGAGTCCTCCTCTCATCCTAGGCCAAGGGCCCCGGGGCCCCGGCCTGGCTGGATGCTGTCTCAGGCTGGAAACCAACCCTTAAGGACAGAGCTTCCGGGACGAGGAAGCCACACAATTCCAAGGCAGGCCCAACACAGGAGGCCAAGCAGCAGGTCTCCCTCTGGCACTGGCAGCGGTGGTGGGAAAGCACGTGGCACCCAGGCCCCAGCAGCCAGGACGGGGTCCTGACAGGCGGGAAGGGACCGCCTCTCACCTGGGAGCTGGGCTCTGGGAGATCAACGAGCTTTAATGCTGAATTTGATCAACAACCACAGTCATCAGACCCACTGACGGATGCTCTGTGCATGGAGGCTGGCATGCGGCAGCCACCCAGCCCTCACAGCTAACCCTGCGAAGGGATTTTGTTGTCCCAGTTTTACAGCTGAGGACACGGGCCCAGAGGCGGCAGGTGCTTCATCTCAGCTCCCAAGCAGTAGGCAGCAGAGTCAAGCCCTGGCCAAAGGCCTCTGGCTCCTGGTGCAGGGCACTTGCAAATCATCTAAAAAACGTGCCCACAATGCCCAGCCCCAAACTACCATCACCCCAAACCATGGACTCCCCTGAATGGACCTATTTCCCAGAATCTGGCTAAACCCTAGGGCTCCCCACAATCAGGAAACAATCTCATCTCTTACTTCTTCATTTCTTGGGAGATGAGACGCCTGAGTGGGACCCTGGTTTGGGGCCCAAGGCTCTCTTCCACCACCGAGATCCCAGGAGGCGGAGGTCACAGTGGCTGAGGGGGCAGGTCCTGGAGCCCAGCAGTCCTGCTCTGGGACCCAGCTTCCCCCGCCCACCTGTGGCGCTCACCTGCACCTCTCTTCTGGGCTGTTGTGTGACGATAGGGACGGTGCCTGCCTGGTCCATACGAGTGCCCACAAGTGCTGGCTTTTGTTATTTCATGAGAATGACTTATACAAAAACTAAGGGGCTAGAAAAAAATTAAAAATCACAAAAGGCACAGGAGGCAGAAGAAGAGCTTCCAGGCAGGTTCTGATGATCTTGGGCAAGTGGCTCTAGCCCTGAGTAAAATAAGGGGGGCGGGAGGTGGGGGGTCCGAACCCTCTGAAATTGACATAAAACACCGAGTGCAAGTCAGCTGACACAGACCCCATCCTGCTGGTTCCTTGTGCCTGGGCCGAGCTCCTGGGAGTCCTCAATCTTGATTTAGGATTTAGGACAATCCTGTACCACAAAGAGCTTCTGCTGGGACCTAGGTCAGGCAGGCCCCTCCCTTAGGCAAAGCTGCTCTGAAAAGCAGGCAGAAGGGAAAGAAGCCCCCACCCCCTCCTAACACTGCCCAAGGGGCCGGTGGGCCCATCAACAATGAGGTGTGATGTGATCACCATTAAAGCAGCAACTAGCATTTATGAAGTGCCAGTGCATGCCCCAACAGGCTTTTAATATGTTGCATTCTTATCTTGCAGACAGGAAACAGAGGCTATGGGACTTGCCCCTGTTACCTAGGCAGGAATTGGGCCCTGCTGGTCTGGCCCAGAGCCCTCCCTCTCAATGACGCCCCAGGAGGCACACATGCCTAGCAGGTGTCAGTGTCGTCTCAGTATCCATTTCTACAACACTTCCCTGTGCCAAGGGCCTGCCTGATGTCTGTTACCGGAACTGAACGGTGGTGGTCCAGGTATGAGCCTTCTCTGCCTGTCCTTTGCTTACAGAGGAGAGTCCCAGGTCCCAGGGAACCCAGCTATTCTTGCTATTCTTGGCGAAAGGCTGCCTACTCAGCTGTCTTCCCACCCAGCTGTCCCGGCTCAGGCAGACCCTCAGGTAATATTTCTCCCCCACCCGCCCCTTCCAGGGGCCACAGGCCCAGGGACCAGTTGTTTCAACAGCTGCTAAAATCCAGGTCAAACCCTGGGGCAACCGCACTCTGGCATTTCGCTCCATTTTTCCTCTTTAGCAAACCCTCATCAAATCCCCCTCTCACACTGGGGAGCGTTCAGCAGCCTGAACGTGGGGAGGCATGGAAAACCCTTCCAGGGCCAAGAAAGAAGGAACTCTTACCTTTGGCAACAGCATGGAGGGACCTGGAGAGCACTGTGCTAAGTGAAATAAGCCAGCCAGAGGGAGACAAGTATCACATGGTCTCACTTTTATATGGGATCTAATGAACAAAATAAAACGACGAACAAAATAGAAACAGAAGCATGGATGCACGGAAGAGACTGACAGCTGTCAGAGGGGAGGGGGCTTAGACGGCTGGATAAAAGGCGAAGGGATTAAGAAAAAAAATTAAAAAAAAAAAATATATATATACACACACACACACACACACACACACACACACACACACACATACATACAGACAGACAACAGTGTGGTGATAGCCAGAAGGAAGGGGGGTGGGGAGGGTAGGTGGGCAAAGGGGGAGAAAGGAGACAGAAAGAGACTTTGCTTGGGGCGATGGGCACACAATGCAGAGTGCAGGTGATGTTATGCTGAGTTGTACACTTGAAACCTGTATGGTTTTATGAACCAATGTCACCCCAATAAATGCTTTTTAAAACTCACTAAAACAAACAAACAAACAAATAAAATAAAACATAATTTAAAAAAACAAAACCCTTTTAGAGTCCCCTTCCCTCCAGGGAGCCATTGTAACATGCTGGCTAGGCCTGGCCAAGCCCCTTCTCTTATCTGGGCCTCAGTTTCCCCGTGGGACAACTAAGAACTGGGTCAGAATAGCCAGGGACCTGGCCAGCACTGATATTCTATGGACCCCATCTCTCCTGGAGGAGCTGCTGTGAGTATTCCAGCTCTCGGACCTGGCTGCCCCCTCACGGCTCTGAGGCTCTGAGGCAGGCCCTGGAAGCTCCCTGAAGCCAGGATCTGGGTCCTGCTCCCTCCAGGTTCCTGCACAGAGCAGCAGGGGTCTCAGCAAACCCCCGAGGCAGCGAGAGACTTAAAGCTCACAGGAGCAGCTGATCCTTTCCTAGACGAGGGCATGAGGACATTTCTTTCAGGTTTCAAGTTCAAAGTAGAACTTGGATGGAAAGGGCTAATGGACACGGTGTGGAGTGACAGCAGCTGGTGGCCTGGTCCACAGTGGGTGGAGGCCCAGGTGAGAAGGCATCCTCCCCTCTTTCCACAAGGACTCAAGTCCCACCTGCCTGGGGAGGCAGGGACAGGTCCTTTCCACATCTGCCCATCTCAGCCGCTGAGGGTCAAGAGGTCAGTGCCCCTGACTTCAGAGCCAGGTACAGTATGTTTTGAAACTTCGCGTGGCACACCAGTGTGCTGCAAAACCCTGGTGAAAACCGCTATCCTAGAGGAAAGCTAAGAGCCCTCTTCTCTCTTCAGAAGCAAACTTCTATTCCCGTTTGGTCTTCCTGGGAGCTGCCTCCCCATCTCTCTCTCCCCCAACTGGCTCTCCAACAGAGCCCACCGTGGCATCAACACCCCGGCCCATGAAACAGCAGCTTCTCCTCCTATTGTCCTCCACTCGCCTTCCCAGCAATCAAGCTTTCCTTTCTATTTAAATGTTTATCGCAGAGGTCTTTCATATGCCACGGAAGAAAATTAGAAAACATAGGTTAGCGATTTTTAAAAAATTAAAGTACCAATAGTCCTATCATACAGACATAACACAGTCAACGCCTTGGTGTGTGTTTCTCTAGGCCTTATATGTACATGCATATGTACTGCATAGTTGAAAGCACAAGCGAGGCCATATATAGATATGACTGGGTCTCCTGCACTTGGAGAGG